CCAGAGCACAGCGTGGGGCAGCAGGCAGGAGCCAGTGTGCACCAGGAGCTGGCTCTACAATATATCTTCTAAAAGTTATACTGCAGAGCCCACAGCACCATGTAACCGCTAGGATTTTTAGCAGTTACACGGTTACATTTTTACATGACTTTTTACATCCCTAATTATGACAAGTGTATAAAACCAAGAATTGCTTGCTTCCAGAGCACAGCGTGGGGCAGCAGGCAGGAGCCAGTGTGCACCAGGAGCTGGCTCTACAATATATCTTCTAAAAGTTATACTGCAGAGCCCACAGCACCATGTAACCGCTAGGATTTTTAGCAGTTACACGGTTACATTTTTACATGACTTTTTACATCCCTAATTATGACAAGTGTATAAAACCAAGAATTGCTTGCTTGTTCTTGGTGACACCTAGTTCTTGTGTTACAAATTACATTGATAGATAGCAGATTTAAAACAAACGGAAGGAAGTACTTCAAACAGTGCACAGTCAACCAGTGGAACTCTTTGCTGGGGAATGTTGTGAAGTCCAAGCCTAGTAACGGGGTTCAAAAAAGAGCTAGACTGATTCATGGAGGATAAGTGCATCAATAGCTGTTAATCAAGATGGGCAGGCATGGTGTCCCTAGCCTTTGTTTGCCAGAAACTAGGAATGGGCAACAGAGAATGGATCACTTGATGATGATCTGTTCTGTTTATTCTCCCTGGCACACCTGGCATTGACCACTGTCGGAAGACAGGATACTGGCTTAGATGGACTCTTGGTCTGACCCAGTATGACCCTATATTCTTACGTAATGTGTAATCTTTTCTTGCTACTTGTACTATTGGCTTTTTTGCTTCTAGTGGTCTTCAGTATGTTAAGTCCAATGACTGCTGTTTTTTAATAAATAATAAGGAATTTCTTGTGTGGCACAATTTTATGAAAACAATCAAGATTTAATGCCTAATTTATAGTGTCTACAGTCTTTTAATATTTTTGTTTTTATGCTGTAAAATTGGCATCTGCCTTAATCCTACATTTTTCTGTTAAGAATAAAATTAGGGTTATCAAGTATGTTGAGGTTTGTAGGTCTTTTTATACAGATTAAAGCAGACAGCACAGGGTCATTGTCTGTTTAGTCTTTATTTAAGAATTAATTTTAATTAAGTTAGAATATCTGTTATAATAGGACTTATAAAACAAGTGTATTTGAAGAGATTTTTAAGTGACAAATGTCATGCTTGATATGCCATTTGATCAAATTTATGATAGGAAATGCAATAGTTCTAATATACAGTACATTTTGCAATCAAGTGTACCTACCTGCCTTTACTGTTAGTTTTTTCCAACATTTCGTATAGGGAGAACAGAAAAATGAAAATAAGTCCTAGTGTAGGATTTCTGAAGAATGGTAAAAATCAAAATCTAATGGGGAGTTGTTAGACAGAGATGTTCATGTTCAAATTTAGTGTGACAATTTCAGAGGTAAAATAAATAATTTCCTAATTGAAAGTATTTTATTCTTTTTCTTCTCAACAAATATTTCTCCTACCTGCTGTTATTTCTGTCCTTAAAAGTGCTTTATTTTTAGCAGGGAAAGCATTAGATTGTTTTTTATTAGAACAGTTAGTGAGCTTAAAGGGGGCAAGGAGTCCTGTGGCACCTTATAGACTAACTGAAGTGTAGGAGCATAAGCTTTCGTGGGCAAAGACCCACTTCGTCAGATGCATGTGAGCTTGAAGGGTTACTGATTAATAATACCAACACATTTAAATATTTTGAAATTTCACTTTGGAGTTTTAATATTCATGCATGTGTACTGTTGGGTCTGAAACATATCACCACACTTCATGTTATTTGTGGAATATAAACAAAATCCACCTCTAAATGAATTATATTTTTGCTGTTTGCTTCAAGCGGATTTTGGCGTATCTGCTAAAAACACCAGAACAATACAGAGAAGAGATTCTTTTATTGGCACACCTTATTGGTAAGTGCAGTTTTGTTAACGTTTAGTATGAACTAATATTTTAATATCACAATTGATTACCTAGCTTTCAAAAGAACAATGCAAAAGATGTAAGGGTGGCATTTATTTTTAAGTATTTAGTGAAAGTACTAATGAAACTAATAAGAATGTTTTTGACTGAAAATGATGTTTCATTTTCTAATTCTATCCATCATTCTCTTTTGCAGGATGGCTCCTGAAGTGGTAATGTGTGAGACCTCTAAAGACAGGCCTTATGATTATAAAGCTGATGTGTGGTCACTGGGCGTCACTTTAATAGAAATGGCTCAAATAGAGCCCCCTCATCATGAGTTAAATCCTATGCGAGTGCTATTGAAAATAGCAAAATCTGATCCACCTACATTGGCACAGCCTTCAAAATGGTTAGTCTTTTAATGCTAACTTTATTTGTCAAGAGTTTTGGAGATTGGCTTTGAGTCTAAAGCGATGTAAAGATGTTTAACATCAAACGCTTGTATAGTTCTATTAAACTCTGTGGAACCACTCACAAGCACAAGTTACATATATGTGGCCTTGAAGGATTGGAGCCCTGACCCACTGTTATTACAGTGTCTAGAAGCTTTCATATTAAAAAGTCTATGGTATCTTACTATTTTGATATTGTTGTGTTGGAAAATAAAGCTTGTTCTTTTTCAAACATAAGATTCATATTCAACAACAAATGTGTATGTAAAGATTTTTAACTACCCTTTTTAAAAAATTGTCAGAGTAAAAGCATGAGGATGATTTGTTTTAAAAAAAAAAGTAAAAATGGGAAAAGGAAATATTGAAAGGTCCTATTTTTAGATTTTATAAGGAGAATATATATTGTTTGAAGAAAGTATGCCATTTCCCATTCAGTCATGATTCAGCTTGTTTTTAAATGGCTAGTGCAAAGTATTACTAGGTGAATTTGAAGCTAGGATGCATTTTAAATCAAAATCCATAAAATAAAACCTTTCTTCAAAATGGAACTCCATTGGGGAAAAAAAAATGCAGCTCGGGGACTAAAAAATAACAGAAAGGTTAAGGTTGCACTTCAGAAGACAAAATGTGCTGCTTTCACTTTTAAACATTTATTGGATTGGCTCTCAAACGATCAATATGGAACACCTCATGGGCTTTTGGACTATAAAACTCACTGGGTTTAATTCGTTGCTGGAATAAGCTCAATTCATTTTATTATCAGAGGGGTAGCCGTGTTAGTCTGAATCTGCAAAAGCGACGAGGAGTCCTGTGGCACCTTATAGACTAACTGAAGTGTAGGAGCATAAGCTTTCGTGGGCAAAGACCCACTTCGTCAGATGCATGTAGACGAAGCTTATGCTCCTACACTTCAGTTAGTCTATAAGGTGCCACAGGACTCCTCGTCACTTATTCATTTTATTGTAATCAGTCACAGGGAATTTGAGTTTTTTTCATTCCTTTGTCTCTCCTGCCTTCTTTTATAGGGTGAACAATTGTAATGCACTCATAAATTGGAAATTGAAAAGAATGTGTTACTATGCAGTTTCTGAATGAGGAAAGTGGCAAGCCCATCTTTGTTTGTTTTTTTTCTACAGGTCTTCAGATTTTAAAGATTTTCTAAGGAAATGTTTGGAAAAGAATATAGATGCCAGATGGAATACTGCTCAACTTCTGCAGGTAAGACTAGTTAGTTACCAGTAAGGTTATAGTACTTGGATTATTAAATCTAATACATCTGTTTAGACACAAGATACTGCTACAGTGATGTTCCAGATATTTCAGAATTAGATATAGTTTGTACACTTAATCTGTATTTAACATTATGTGGCAAATCCTCAGTTGATATAAATCAGTTGAGAGACACCATCTTACTCCAGGTGAGAATTTGGCCCAGTGTTCATAAATGTATAGGTGAAGATAATTCTTTTGTGCACTTATCTATATTAATTCAGTGCTTCCCTTAATATAAAGTAGCTGTATTTATATAAGAAGTTGATTGCTGACAGATGTTTTAAAAGCTTTAATGCTCATCCATCTGCTTTAATGCTGTCACTGCAGAAGAGCTAACAGGAGTAGATCTGACTAGATAAACTTGATTCTGTTCAACGTCCGTGCATGTTTATTTGTATCCAAAATACATTTGACACACGTTGAAAGGCTTTAAGAAGCAGGACCAAATAGAGAGAACAGTTTATCCAGAAAGGATATGAGGACAGGTAGTTATTTTTTTTTAAAGGAAAAAGTACAGAAGAAAGTGATTCTCATACAACTTTGGACCAAAAGTAACATTGTATTTTTAGACAATCTTTCTATTAAGCGGCCACCGTTCTTGTTCTACATTAAATATTTCTAGGTAGAAAATTTATTAGGTAGATGTTCAGGTGTGAGATGAAAAAATGAAGACCATTTCCAAGAAAAGCAACCTTTTAAAAACTCTTTCTACTTTTGTTGTTTGGGGTGTTAAGGTCAGTATAACTTTTTAAAAATTATTTGATGAGTTCTCTGTATTTTTTATGAGTTTATTCAACAAATCATGGTATTTTATATTTTAAAACGTCTAATTTGTAAAAATAAAATAATTGCACGTTAATAAAAAGGTTGTTGGTTTGATATTACACTTTAATATTAATCCCTTTAATCTCTGGATGTAAAGAATCCTAAAATATAACCCTAAAGAAATTGCTGCTTTTATTCCATTGTTATAAAAATGAAACAGCTGTTTACTGTGTATTTTAAAAGGCTTTTTTTTTTTTCTTTAAACAAGCATCCATTTGTTACTGTCACTTCTAATAAACCAGTCAGAGAGTTGATTGCAGAGGCAAAGGCTGAAGTAACAGAAGAAGTTGAGGATGGTAAAGATGAAGATGAAGAGGAGGAAACAGAAAATTCTCTGGTCAGTTGAATACATTTGTAGATATATTTATATGCTTATTTTAATTACATTTTGTCTATGGAAAAACTTTATTTTTTGTTTCACTAATTATTTTTGCAACGTTTTAATGAGTACTAAGAATATTTTTCCCCAACTATAGTATGTCTTCAGAAGTCAGAATATATAAAAGCCAAATGATCTTAAGCTTTAGGACAGAATAATAAAGAATATTGTGTGCATGTGTGGCTAGATATGTGTATGCATTTGGATATGTAAGGTGAGAAGGCTGTTGAAACAAAGATTTTCATCTTTTGTAAAATAATAGGCAAATATATTAATAAATAAAAGTGTACTGTGTATTTGGCATTGTAAATAATAACTATTGTATGGGTGAAGATACGACATTTGTTATAAACTAAGTTTCTTTTGCATTTATTACTCAGTTATTTTTAAAAAAGCAAAAAATCTCTCTTCAGGACAAACTCTCCAGTGGATTTAGTTTGTGAGCAATTAAAAAAAAGCTTTAGATTTATAAGGATACTTTTGTCAATCAAATTCAGTCCCTTAAAGGGAAATGAAACCATGGCTGTAGTATGATGATATGCTAATGTATGGTAGATAAAAAATAGATGCATTTACAGTGTTTATATATGCCATTTAAACACATTTGACTTCCAGTATACTGAGATTCAAAAATAATTCTAAATATTAAATTATTTTAGAAACATTTTAGCAGAAAGAGTTTGTTATTACATGCTTTCTTAGACAAAACTCTCAATGAATTTTGTCTCAGTAGGAAGAATAGGATCAGGCCAGTCCTTGATACACACTAGCTATTGAAATTATATATCGTAGTCCACTAATGGAAAATTGTAACCGTTTAATTCTCAGATTATGGGATTCTAGTAGTAAAAGACAGATATGCCATTATCACTCCAAAGAGTAAAAGTAATTATGATTTGAAATGATGGTTCATTAATATATTTGTCTGTATCAGTCTCTGTAGAAATATTACATTAATTCAAAATCTAATTCAAAATCTAGCAACATCAATAATTCCTTGTTACCATCCATTCATATCTGCTGGAAACTTTTGGCTTTAACTGAAATTTTTCATGTTTGGCCTCTTCCTGAAGGTGAATTTTTGAAGTTCAGGTAAAAATTGTTCAGTCACTTTTGAGTGAGACATTTTTCCCATTATGTTATAAACTGTTTTTTGTGAATTTATTACTCAATTTATATTTAAAAAGCAAAAGCAAAAAATCTATAACAACGCCGGGGGTAAATCTAGGTATATTTAGATATATAGGTATATCTAGATCGAAGTATAATATATATTTAAAAAACAAACAAAATTGCAAGTTTCTTAAATATTTGCAAGTTAAAATTTGGCATGGAAATAATCCTCCTGGAATCAGTGTCTTGCATTGTTGAAAAGAAATTGTTTTTTTTTTTCACATGTAAGTGGAACCTAGTTGGCTATAAACCAAAAAGCCTAATCAGATGTATTCATCTTCATCATCATCAACAACCATGGGCTCAACGCCCGTTGGTGTCCGATGCCACCCTCGCTATTTTCTTCTATCTTTTCCTTTCTAGTGTGGAGTGGCTTAGTTTCTGTAGACTAGCTCCGCACGAATCTACTATATCATCTACCCATTCTCTGTGGGGTCTGGCTCTCCTATTCGGACTATCCATTATGCCGAATACCAGGGTCTTAACTTTTTGCTTGTCATTTATTCTGCAGATATGCCCGAGTAGCTGTAACTTCCACTGTATAACCTTCTGCAGTGGTTCTTTTGGCTGTATCTTCTTATATAATTCCTCGTTGGTGACCTTCTGCATCAATCCTATTCTCAAAATCTTTCTATAACAACTCCTCTTGAATGCCAATATCCTCTTTGAATCTTTTGTTAACACCCCTGTATTACTTTTTATTATTTCAGAGATCCTAAACCCACTCCACCCTTATGTCAGAGAAAAACACCCACATTTGGCTATGAGAGGATATCCTCGTCACAGGCACTTTAAAAACAGCCATGAGGCAGTTTTCAGAGTATCCCCTCACAAGTCTTAGCAAAGCGAATGTGCTGGGGGGTAGTGGGATCATCTTGGGGGCAACATTCAGATTGTGGGCAATGCTGTAGTCCATAGGGAATTTTGGTGAGGCTGCTGTAATTTGGACGGACGGATGGACGTGTTTTATGCTTAGGTCCTCTCCAGTCCTTGGAGGAAGCCCTTGATTAGGAGGACAATAAGGTGGCTTAAGGCTACTTTAGTTGCTTCATTCACGAACACCCCCTGCAAAGCTATAGATTTTTTTTTTGTGCCTCTCAGATATGCAGCACCTCTCAATTCTGTGGCCAAAAGAACCATATAGGGTGAAAGTGGTTGAGGAAGGGCTCATAAGGATTTTTCAAGGTATGTTGGTGCTATGGCAAAAGAGATCCAGCATCTTTTAGGGACAGAGAGAGCCTGTGCAATTGTAAACTGGGCAGAAGGGCTTTTCTGCAGAGGTAATAGTTCTGTAGTTAGGTCTGGTTCAGTAGCGTGAGATTATGGGATTTATTTTTTGTGGCTACATACGTGTGGTGTCTTTTGATACCTCTTGCTCCTATGCCAGTGTTTCCCAAATGGTGTTCTGCGGAACCCCGGGGTTCCATGAAGTGAAAATAAGGGTTCCACAAGAAAATTCCATTCCAATAACATTTTATGATTTTTTAAAAAAAAATATTTAAGAATTTATGAATTTTATTGAAAACCTGTTTTCATTTGTGTTTGCCATGATAAGTGTCCCTTGTGTAATGCCAGCCGCAGTCAATCAGTGATACGATTGCCTGTTATATACCATATATTAGTCTGGTATTAGGGGTTCTGCAAAATTCTTTTAAGTTTAAAAGGGTTCCGTCGCCAAATAAAATTGGGAGACACTGGTCTATGCAAGTATTTTTATGTAATTGTTTTTTATTTAGCAAATAGTAATTTTTTTCTTTTCTAAATAAAATTATAGCAATTACCAACAAACAAGCGTGCCTCCTCTGACCTTAGCATTGCCAGCTCTGAAGAAGATAAACTTTCACAGAATGCTTCTATTCTGGAATCTGTTTCTGAGAAAACAGAACATAATGCAGCTGAGGAGAACATCAGTATATTTCCTGATGATAAAACAACTGCTGGCAAACCCAAGACAATTAAAGATGCGGAAATTATTGACAGTGTGTCCGATACAACTTTTGGAGATGATAGAAATGTGCAGAATGGGTCTGTATTAATTGAGGGAGATGAGCAAGAGAAAAGATCAGGACTTGAAAAGAATACTCAAAAAGTAGAGAAAGTAAATGAAGACACAGGATCACAGACAGAAAGAAAAGAAGTTGATACAGTGACATTAGAAACAAATGATAAACACAGTATAAAAACAGAGGAAAGAACTGCCACGGAAAATGAACAGACAGATGAAAATAAACTGAAAACACCTGAAATTGAAGATGTCAGTGCTCAAACTACACAAGTGATATCTAAAGAGAATGGGGAGAAAGAGGAGAAAGAAAGCAGAACAGATCTCCATGAAAATAATAATGAAGAAACAACTACAGAAAAAATTACAGAGCAAAAAGGTGATGGCAAATCTGAAGAAGTTCAGGAAGTTGAGATGACAGGTAGCACTAATGAAACTCTGGTTAAAGGTGAAGAGAAAATGGCTGATATAGATCAGGAACCAATAAAAAATGCAGTTGATGTTGCTCAAGAGACAGGCAGCACTAGTGAAAGTCAGATCAGTAATAGAGAGAAAATACCCGAGAAAGTCCAGAAGCTAATGGAAAGTAGAACCGAGCATGTTCATGAGACAGGCAGCTCTGAAGAAACTCAGATTAAACATGAAGATAAAGTCACCAATATAGATCAGAAATTAGTAGAAAGTGAAAATGAAGATGTTCATAAAATAAGCAGCACAGAGGAAACTGAGGTCAAGAATTCAGGAAAAGTGGCTGTGACAGACCAGAAGCCAGTACCAAGCAAGACTGAGAATATTCATGAGACAAATAGCGCAGAAGGAATTCCTACTGAAAGTGTGGATAAAGTGGTTGAGCATGATCAAAATTCAGAAACAAATGGACCTGAGGACACCCAGAACAACATTGAGTTAAATGCAGAGAATTCACAAGTTCCGTGTGATGCACCACTTAAAAACAGGCTTCAAGATCCTGCAGTTGAACAGCCTTCTGATTCTGAACTCACTCCAATACCTATGATTAGTGTTAGCACTGAAGAAGATGAGGAAAAAGTTAAAATGGGTAATCAAGTCATTGCTGAAACATTACAGCAGCTAGAACCTGAGACTCTAAAGGAAAATGATGCAGATTCAGGCACTGGTTCTGCAACTGATAATAGCATTGATTTGAACTTATCCATCTCTAGCTTCTTCAGTAAAAACAAGGATAGTGGATCAATATCTTTACAAGTAAGTATAGACAATTATAAATATTTTTAATGTAAAATCTTGTACAATAGAGCCTTAAGAATTTTTTGGGGGAGTTAATAATGTTGAGAAAATTAACCATTCAGAAATTAGCATTGTGATACTGAATCTGTACATTAAAAGAAACCACTTCGCTAAAATTGAAGATTGCAAATAGTCAGATAACAGTTGCATCTAAAATTGTTTTAAAAGTAAAATATTGAAGTACATTGAATAGCATTGTAATTCTGTGCATTTGTGATTTGGTTACTATAAAATTGTGTAACTATATTCTCAAATCTAAACTTATCAGATCAAAACAATGTTAACCTTCAAAATATGAACTAATGTAAACTAGTACAGTACATCGAGACAGCAAATTCTGAAGAGCCAAAAACTACAGACTATTTAAGAGGAAGATTTGTCTTATGGCTAAGGACTAGAATCAAGATTTCAAGTTCAAGTCTTGGTTCTATACGCAATTCTTGTGACTTTCAGTAAATCAGTTAACCTCTCTCTGGCATGTCACTCTTCTCCACATACATCTTCTCTGTAACCCATTGTTTGGCTTGACTGTTTAGATTGCAAGATCTTCAGGCTAGCATTTGTATCTTAAAACTTTTCTAGAACAAAAAGTGCTTTACCTCTATTGGTATAAATGTAGTTATCCGGTACATTGACATAAGCAATTATATCTCATTCCTATTTAGAAAGAGGAACATACCCCTAACCTACATAGTTACACCAGTACAAAACTGAGTGTGAGCCAGGCCTTAATATGTTTTCACAGTGCCTAGTATGATGAGGACCCACCTTCAGCTGAGACCTCTCTGTGCTACTGAAATAACATAATATCAGCGATAAAAACCAGTAGTTCTGAGAGAGGAACTTTTCCTTTTTATCTCAATGAAGTCATAATTTTGGAACTATGTAGTAAAAGTGTAATAAAATAATAATAATAAAATACTATGAACTAGTTAGTCATATACTGCTGAATTGATAGGAGGATTTAATAGATTAAATAAATTCCCCAAAGGAATGTAAAAAGTTATTTAAAAATGTAAACATGTAACTGCAAAGAATCCTAGCAGTTACATGTGCTGTGGGCTCTGCAGTATAAAGCTTATGTATAAGCTTTATTCTGCAGCACCTGAAGTGAAGCCTCTCTGGGAATGCTGGCAGCCCCCAGGGAGGCTCCACTGCATGGTCTGCAATATGAACAATATATTGCACAGCCTGCAGTGAAGCCAGCTCTCCAGGCTGCTGTCACCACTCCCCAGGAGCCAGAATGTGACCTTAAGGGAAACGGATAAGCCTCAGCTTATCAGTTAACTGTTTAAATGGTTACACTTCTACATCCCTATTCCCTCAGTGCTACTGCCAGTAACTGAGACATGGGGGGGAAGGGATATTGGGACTCCTACTTGAGGTATTGTTCATGAATACTGCTCTTAAGCTCCTTTTTTTCATATCCACTTTTGGCTTGTAGGTGTCTGACAAATGTGAAACCCTCCTCACCCTTTCCCCCTACTGATTAAGGGATGAGAACTATTTGTTCTCTCTTTCTGTCTTTCACTCAGGAGCCTCTTACCTTATCCCAGTTTTTTTTATTCAGCTTCACTGCTGCTTTTCAGACTCCTTGGGACATCTGTGAAAGTGTCTAGTCTTGATGAATTCAAGGGAAAGGGCAACAACAGAGGCAAATAGACTATCTTCATACTCAGGAATATACCACTGCATCAGCTTCCATTGGAAGACATAAAAATTGTCTAGATAAATGGCAGTTTAAAAATTAGCAATAATAATGACTTACTTTTCTGAGACAGCAAAGGAGGGAACTATGACTTCCTGGTAAGAGGACTTTTCAAGCTCTTACAACTTGAAGATAGTTTACCCTTGTTGTATATGCAGTTACTCTCAGTTTAGAAACTCAGTAATGTAATTTATCAGATTAAAAAATGTTTTAATTCAGTTGAACACTGACGCAACATTTTCATTTAGGAAACAAGAAGACACAAGAAAACACTGAAGAAAACGCGCAAATTTGTAGTTGATGGAGTAGAAGTGAGTGTGACAACATCAAAAATAGTTACAGAAAACGATTCAAAAAGTGAAGAATTGAGATTTCTTCGGTGAGTAAAAATTTCTAAATAATTTTGGAGACATTTGGTATTTTTTTCCTTCTGTAATAAAACAGAAGGAATCTTTAATTAATGCAAGAGTGCTCTCAATTTATTTTTATACATTAAATTTAGATTTTTGTGTTAGCTAATGGAAAAACTGTTTATTTTAAAATGATACAAAAATCCAAGTCTAATTCTACATTGCTTTTTTACAGCTGGTATTATTGAGCCCAAATTGGGTTTTTTTTAAATACTTTTATCTTTATTCACTTACCCTCTTATTTTGCCCCACCAACACAACTCATTATCAGACGTCAAGAGCTGCGGGAGCTAAGACTTCTTCAAAAAGAAGAGCAGAGAGCTCAACAGCAGCTCAGTAATAAACTCCTACAACAAAGAGAACAGATGTTCCGACGCTTTGAACAGGAAATGACAGTAAGTGGGGGAGGGGCGGGAAGAGAAGGGAGGTGGAATTTGCACCAGCATGATATAAGGCAACTTATTATTGAGTGAATCTAGTACTCTTACCATATTGATGGAGTAGATGAACATGTGAGGATACTATTCCATTAGTCAATGTTTGTTCTCTCTACTTAGAGAGATTTCAACAGGTAGTCTTGTTGCTGTCCTGTATTAATCAAAATGCTTGGGAATAGTGCCTCTCAACCAGCAGAGGGTGATAAAACCAGTGTGTGGGGGGAGTGGTATCTTCCCCACTCCATTAACGGTGCTCATTCACATATTGCAGTTGTCTTTGTCTCTAATAAATGGAGGAACATTTCCCTTGCCAGATGTCTGATTAATATAGGCTAAAAGAAAGACTAGACCAGAGATAGTCACTGATGTATAGCTGCCTCTGCAGCATGAACTTGAGGCCCCAAGAGTATGTGAGCAGGACAGCTCCTACCCAATACACAGAATACACAGCTGCATAGGGTTGCTCCAAATTTCATAGTGCCTTATGCAGCTGGGTTTTGTGTATGGTCTCCAGCAGCCCCCATCTCCCTACCCCCATATTCCCTGAGCTCAGTGCTGGCTCTGGCAGCCCCCGGCTGGGCCCCTTTTCTCCGCCATAGGCTACGTCCCCAGGTGGCAGTGAGCAGCACAAGCTGGAGGATTCGGGAGGAGCAGAGGAACACAGCCAGTGCCTGCACAGAAGCAGTGGTTTCCTCTTCCACTGCTTCTCTCTAGCTGCAATATGGACGCCCTCTGCTCCTTAGGCCCATGCTCATGCAGCTCGCCACCTTCCACTTGCTAGCCTGAGGATGCAGATGAGTCTTCCTGCCCTGCTCCTGCCTAGGATTGCCAACTCACCCGACTGAGTGGATCAGGTGCCATTTGCAGCAATGGAGTCCAGTCTGTCTGGTACAGGAGAGTTGGTAACCTGTTCCTTCCCCCACAACTTCTGCCTCTGCAACCCCCTCCTTCACAGGTGCTTCTGTGAGTGATCATATATGCTCCAGATTCTTTCCCCCCACTATATCTAAGGGTACGTCTAGACTACAGGGTTTTGTCGACAGAAGTTTTGTCGACAGATACTGTCGACAAAGCTTCTGTCGACAAAGAGCGTCTAGACTACATTCAGTTCTGTCGACAAAGCAAGCTACTTTGTCGACACAACCCTGTAGTCTAGACACAACCCTACATGCAATAACATCTTCTGTCGACAGAACTCTGTCGAAGGAAGGCATTATGCCTCGTAAAAGTCTACTTTTGTCGACAAAACTCTGTAGTCTAGACACACCCTTGATCATACTTGCAACACATCAAAGTAGGCATTCGCAGCCAGAACAGAAGATGCAAGAAGGATTCCCTTTCCCACAGGCAAGTTCCCAACCCTTACAAGTATCAGCAAGCTCCAGCTTCCTCAAGAAGATAAATAACTACTCCTGTCTTCTATATAGCAGGTCATAGGCCAAGATAATGGGCACCTTGAAATACGTACAGTGAGATATCACAGGTTCCCTGCTAGACTCTCAAAATGTTTTGATCTGGAGCTGATAAATATCTTGGGCCATGCCTCCCATCCTTGCTCTCATTTCATGTACACCCAGATAAAATTATTTTCAACATAACGTACAGGCTTTTTGTATGAATTGGGAAGTGTTGCCCTCTATCGGCTGGCTGAAGATAAGGAATTTATTATTATTATTTGCTGAGGGTGGTAACCCTAGTTTTAGAGGCCTGTATTTTTAGACTATGATCATTCAGCTCCAGAGGTATGAATGTAAAATGTATATAGTAAATTGAGTCTATTGTGTAATGAATAAAGATTTGTAACACAGGAGGTCTCCCCCATGTGTTTTTCAGCACAGGCAAGGCATGCCTTGTTCATGTTCATACTCATTCACCCCAAATTCAAAATTTGGCATACCACAATTTGGAGTTCCTTAATTAAGCAAAGCAAATATGATTGCTTTTACTGTACAATTCTGCCGAACTTTCTCTCAACAGTCCCAAGTTCAGTTTCCTAGAAAAACATCCAATGAAATGGAATTATTTTACAGAGTAAAAAGCGGCAGTATGATCAAGAGATTGAAAATCTAGAAAAGCAGCAAAAACAGACAATCGAACGTTTGGAGCAGGAGCACACAAATCGTTTACGAGATGAAGCAAAACGTATCAAAGCAGAACAGGAGAAGGAATTGTCCAAATTCCAGAGCATGTTGAAAAACAGAAAAAAAGAGGTAAGACTCATTGATAATTTAGAAAGTAGGGGGCCTGATAGAAGTGAGTATGGCTTTAACCCCTGCCATAATGACTTCTGGATGCCTTCATAGCCATTGGCATATTTTGGTTGTTTTATTATGTACAAAATAGCTGACTGTTGAAATATTGACTTCTGCAGAAGTCAGTGGCAGATTATATGAAATACAAATTTACTAATCTGTAAAATTTAAAAAAATATATTTTTCATAGCACTTCACAAAACAAAGATAAATTTCCCTATATTTGTAATGTTAGAATTTCAAAAATAATACAACTTTGGTAACAGTTGAGTTATTATACCTACTGTAAATTTCCATTTGTTTATTCCTTAAGCCCATATTTTATAATTTTTCTGTAAAAGTATAACTCTGGTCAGCGTTGTCTGTCTCTACTGATTAACTCAATTGGGGGAAAAAAGGTAACTGAAAAGTTTTGAGACTAACTGCAGGTCTAAGTTATATAGTGTAACAAGTGAGCGAAGGATGAAACTGAAAGTCTGAACTGTTAATTTGCTTGTGGTAATGTGTGAGATAATTGTGCATTTACATATAGTTTTTTGCATATGAAGACTTTAATTTTTAAACTAATTGTATCAAGTTCTGTGTATGTAAAGATAATTTATTCAAGAATAATAGTTAAGATTAATATTCTTCACTCTAAAATCTATGGTGTACTATTAGGGCTTTTTTATAGGACTCTATAGTATGAACATGTTTAGAAAAATATATAATTTTATTTATTTTGATCTGTACACTGGTATGTATTAATCACTTTTTTTTCTTTTGCTGAACTTCTTGCATTTTTGAGTTTCTTTTTACTGGTGATTGGGTCTTATATGGGATAACTGGCGGAACTTATTGCTGTATACTGATCTAAAATAGTTCTTTCTTGGAAATAAGAATAGCATGTGGTGGTTTGGACTCTGATTTTTTTATGGGGCTTCCACTATTAAATAAACAGTTATTTGATCTTGCAGGCATATATTTTGTCTTTATTATTTATAGCTCAGTGGGGAGATTTACAATACGAGGAAAATGTAGCCAGAGCTCTAAAACTATCTGTTATATTGGAGAGTATGGAAAGTATGTATTATTAAAAACTGGTAATATTTAATCTCCAATAAATAAAATGAGAAAATCATCATATTCAAGTTGCTTTATTAGATAGTATTTAGAAATTAGCTCACCACTTTAAAGTGCATTATACTGAAACACATTTTATGCGATTTCAGCCTAATTGTAATACAGAGATTTGTAAGACTATAATAATTGGTAGGGATGGTTTTTACAAAGGCTTACTTTTTAAGTCTGAATACTTTCAGCCCTTTTATCTTTGGTGTACTTATGTGCCTCTTATATTTTAAAACATACTATGTAAGTGGTGTTTGTGATTCTCATATCCAAATTGATACAATGTCATTTCTATATTCTCAATGTCAATAAAAGCTCTTTCTCAGTGGAAGTTCCCCTACTATCACTCATTTCAGATCTGTTACTATGGGGATAAAAATATTTTTTTAAACTTCCGGTACTGTTTAAAGATACTGCTACTATTGCAGGCAGCTTTCTTAATCAATGACAGCTTAAGTTACTGCATGAAACACATTAATGAGATAAACTAATCCATAGGAAGGAATTGCTGATTCTGAAGGAACTACATTCATTTGCATGTAAAATCAAACTGGTTTATGGCTCTTTTCTTGGCTGCACTTGGACTGGCACAGAGCATTCACTATCTTTTCCTTTTCACCTAATTAACACCTCTGCCATTAAAGGAATGCATGCTTTCCAGTACCTTAGTGCTTGAGCAATATCTGTCATGTTCCCAACAAATGCTTGCTGTGGAGAAAAAACATTATTTTCCCCACCTTCTGCATGCTTATACACTGTAGGTTTTTAATGAAGTGGAGAAAGCACCAAAAGAGCTGAGAAAAGAGCTCATGAAACGCAAGAAAGAGGAGCTTGCGCAAACCCAGCATGCTCAGGTAACAGCAGCAGCTTCATGCTACTAAAATCCAAAAAGCAGCAGTAGTGTCACAGCTTAATCATTTCACTTTCTTGTATAGAGTGACTTTGAATTTAATATCTAACCCTTGACATTTGTTCTGCTCCCCCAAATGCTCCCATAACTCTTCCCAATTAGTACAATATAGACTTATGTTAATACGTTAAAAAAGCTTAACATTCAGGAAGCTTATTCAAATTAGAAAAATATCTTTATACATCACAGGAAAACTCATTACATTGCCTTTTCAGCTGATAAGGAACTTGTGTGCATAATTTAAATGTTAGAATAGACAGTCAAGTCTTTTCAGGATTTTAAGCATAAAGAAGGAAAATAAAAGTGTAAAGTTAAGGATTATTGTTCATAACAGCACAGCATTGAAGTAAACTTGACTTAATTAAGTATCCAATGAAGTGGAAAGTTGTATAGAGACTTTAGAAGATTGCAAATATAATTCCACACTGACATTAATTGCCAGAACTGGATGAAAAAGACAAAAATATTCAGTGCGTGTTCTTCATTTGTAAGGTTTTGAATGTCCTATTCTACCTCTAGTCAAGATTGTATCACAAAAAGTTTTTTAGGATGAATAACTGAAGTGGGGTTGTCCTAAAAGTATAATTATTGTTTACAGTAGTAGAAAAGGTAGTGATGTAACTAGAGTATGTTAATAGCAATTTGACTTTGAAGCTTAGAAGTTATATTTTTATGGGCATGATGGGTTGAACAGCGTGAAACAAAGATGGGTGTACACGTGAGCAAAGTTCTTAGTAAACAGAATTTTAGACCTGCAAATTGTCCTAATTCTATCAGTGGATTAACTTGTTTCCACTATTGCAAAAGTTGTGATAAATAATTCTACCCTGATTAAGTTGACAGATCCTCATTTCTTGTCATCCAAAAGTACTGTAAGCATAAGCATCTCTACAAAAATTTGTTTTGAAATCTATAAACAAACCAGTTACTATACTTACTGGTACCATTTTTACTGTAAATAACTGTTAACTCAAACCATGAGCCTTGGAATCATCTTCCTCTCATGGCTGATATACAGTAGTTTGCCATCTTTGAAAGAGGATTTTTTTTTTAACATTTTGACCTGGGAAGTACATTGTATTCTGATCCACAGGGCATTGCTCAGGTTATGATTCAATCTTTTCAATTGTCTTCGTGTACACTCTTCAATGCACAAATGCAGGATGTAAGTCCCAAAATACCAAGGGTTATTTCCCTATTTTTTCAATTTTATGTACTCTTCTGTTTCTTTCTTTGGCTCATACGTGCTGATGAATTTCATTGTCTCAAACTAAGTGGAAATTTGTAAAATTGTGTGGCTTGTGAATTCAAACTGCAATGGGTAACCTTAGCTAAAATGTGAATTTTCTCTTAGAAACAGAAGACATCAATAATTTAATGATTGTATCATTTCAGCACCTGTGAGAAATTGAATGCAGTGGTGAAGTTTTATGTTGTGTGTGTGTGTGTGTGTGTGTGTGTGTGTGTGTTCAGTGACATTTTTATCTTTGGGATGTTGGATGAAAGCTTTTTTCCTTTTCCAAATCCTAATACAATACTATGTTACTCCTTTCAGCACCAAAGAACTAATGCAACTGCTAAGGAGCAAATTGTATTGTGGTCTGCCTGAAATTTTTCTTCAGTGTTTATAGCATGTAATATGATAAAGATTGCGGAGAACATCTTCACTGGCAACTTGGTTGGATAGTGTAGGAGGCAGACCACAATACATAGGCTTTGTGTGTGATGTTTGGGATTGATGTAAGAAGCCGAAAGGACAGTACTTGTGTTTTTCAGATACCTGGCTTAGCTTTCTCTGCTAGCCATTTTAAATAAAAGAACCCTTTCATTGTGACTTCCAGTATAAACAGATTAGAATGGATATGTAAGTAATTGAGGGAGGAAATTGCTTTTTTTGACCTTGACTACACACCTTCCAACCCCTGGAGAAAATATTAATTAGAAATGTAAGACTGCATGAAAAAATACCCTGAAAGTAACCTATAGCATGTTTTACACAATTGTGCATCCAGCTAGTCCAGAATATGAAAGGTGTATTTCAAATATATTTCAGCCTTTTTACTCGTTCAGTTGAAAAGTGAATAATGTGAAACCCTTTAAAACTGTATTCTCATCAGTCCATTATTCTGTTTGTAACTAGATCACTGAGCTTATCCTTCTGATAACACCCATAATTGTCATTCCCCAGATATTCACCAGCTTGCTCCGTTTCCAATTTTATACCACCTTCTGCACAGCCCATTCACTCTGCTATCACAATCTCCAACTGTACCCTTTTCAGTGTTCTCTACTGGACCCTTTACAGATGGTAGTGCCAATTGCAACTCACTGTCCAATGGGAGAGACATACACTTTGCTTACTATTTTCTTAATATCTCTAGGAGAGGAAAATGATCGATCCCTCTCTCTCATCCTCGGTCATTATCAGATGTGCCTGTAACTGATTGCTGATTCCAGATTTCACTGTTTGCATCTTTTTTCCATTTAAGCTCTGTAGAATATTTGCTGCATTCATCTTACTTTAAAGATCAATAAGATAAAGTGTTATTGCTTCTGCTCAGGACCAGATACCTCATTTGACCTTGATCCACCTGTATCTCCCAGCAGTCTTCCCATCTCTCTCCTCTCTAGAAACCATCTTAAATTTCATTTTTTCCTGTGAGAACAAATGCTCCTTCCTGGCTTTGCAACTTGGCTTATATCACAGCTATGAGCAACATTTCCATTGACTATATACTTGCTGGTTGTCAGTCATTCTAGAAATGAAGTGTCTGCTCTAACATGCTCAATATGAACACAGTGATGTAGTTAGACCACAGCTAATTAGTCCCCAGGAGACTACAGTGAGGAAGAAAATAGGAGAGACTAAGGCCTTGTCTACACTACCAAGTTTTGTCATCGAAAACTGCCTCTTGGTGACAAAACTGAGTGTGTACACGGTTTGATCTCTGCTACCCTGCAAGCATGCACCCATCCATTTTCAAAGCCCATGGAGGTATCTGACAGCTGAGTGTGTTGCTCCCTTTGGGGAACAAAGCAAATAATTGGAATGTTCCTGTTCTGGCTTGCACTAGAAATGCAGTGGCAGGCAGATTGACTGCCTGCAGCAGCAGGGGAGGAAAGAGGGGAGAGATGGCTGTGCTGCTTTGATGTACTTCATCAGGGAGAGCTCATGATGCACCTCCTGACAGCTGAGGAGGCTGAGATAATCCCAAAATATGTAGTGATTGGCTCCATCTTCCCACAACAGTGCATTGTGAGAAATATACCCCCCGTGCATTGCTCACACTGTTGATGGTTCCCCCAGTCTGGACATGATCTGTGGGCAGGAGAAGCAAAGAGTGAACACCATTTTGTGATTTTTGTTTTGTTTTGTCAACTTTTGGATGTTGACTTAGGATTTCTTGACAAGGCCTAAGGTGTCACCTGAGGCCATTGAAGTGGCAAGGAATTCATTAGTTGAGATCTAATCAGATGCTGAACCTTTGTCCCTATTCATACCATGCAGAGATTTATACAAAGATAATAAGAATCAAATCTCTTGCTTCTTAGCATATGTTTGTTTTCTTTCATTTGTAACAATCATCATTTTTAGATGTTTTGCTAAATCAGGCCTTTAGTCTATTTGTATATTGCAAGTACAGTAAAAATAGTTAAAACTTGTTGGACTAGTGCAGCAGAAAAGTTTCTTTGATAACCCTATGCAATACATGTTAATTTTCTGAATTGATGAGCACTAAAACAAGAAGACTTCCAAACTCAGAGTATAGAAAAGGCAAATTATTGCTTTTCATAATCTGTCCTTAAAAAATAATATACCCTTTGTAAAGGTAACTTTCAACAACAAAAATATTAGTGACTGTTTCAGAACTCTGCATTAATTATTTAACTCACAACTTTACTAATACACTTTTATAGCTTGGAAGCACTTTATTGAAAAACTGTTTAAGTTTAAAGGCAAAATTAACACAGTAATGAGGTATTTATTCTCCTTATGTTCTTTTTTTGTCTGTCCCACTAAAAACGCTGATTATACTGAGATTGTGGCCTTTTCCATGTAACCAGTACAGGTTCATTTTTAAAACACCTTTTTCTTAATTTAGAAAGTAGGTACAATGTATAGCATATTTTTCATACAATTGTCTTGTTTTATAGGGAAAAGGTGCATGCGTGTGCGTGTGTGTGTGTGTACATAAAAAAGTTGCATCAGTAGTAGTGTGTATAGGTGATAATAAACTGTAATGTCTGCTTTATTTTGACTAAATAACTTAGATGTGACCGTGCAAAGTGTGCACACAAAAAGGCTTTGCTTAATAATCCCAAGAAAATTAAGACTGCTAGACTCTTTATTACATTGGACTTTATTGTACCAATGAGTTTTTCTTGCTGTGTGTGTGTGTGTGCGCGCGCGTGCAAAGGAGGGTGGGAGGTGTCAACTTTGCAAATAAACATTTTTCTTATGTCTACAAATTAGGTTCCTAGTCCTGCAGCTTGTTCTGCATGGGAGGAGGACTTTTGCACCTGTGTGGTACCCCTTTAGGGAGTGGCAGTCCATGTTGGGCTCTACCAGCATGGAGCAAATTTCAGGACTGGGGCTATATTAATATGACTCCTTCAGTTTTTATTCTCTAGTGATATAAATAAATATACAAATATGAACATTATTTTGTTTAAAGGTCTTTTTAATTATGTGCAGATAGTTTCTATTGGTTTATAAAGGCTTGTTAACTCTACATGATGCCCAACAAAGAGTAGCTAACAATGACAGTATTTGGCTTTGAGTTTTTAGCACATGGTTGGTTGTCCTTTATTGCTACTGCCTGGCTTCTTCAGACCCATGCAGGTACTATCACATTTAGTCGGGTTATGCAGCCCTTCCAAAACCTAGAGCCTAGGTAGAAAGGATCTTTAAACACTGGCTTTACATTTACATAAGCCACATATTTTCCACCTCTTTAAATTCTTCTGTGAGGGACTGCTCCTTATTAGTAGGGCTTAGTATTAGCCCTTCCATGCATCTTGCAGGACAGTACCATTATCCAAACAAGGACAGGAACCAAAGTTCCCTCCCTTTTCCCCTCCCCCCCCATAAATTTCACACGTAAATTGGGCAGTTGGTGTTCTAATTATCAGAGTGTATAATAGTTACCTCTCCCAGGTGTTGACACATTATTTGAGCAACATTAGTCGCTCTTGTGGTTCAGGGAATAAAACATTTTAGTTTTTAATATCTTGCGTTTTTGTAGATACACAATTTCCACTTTCAGGCCAGTTGCTATTTTAATTTGAGAAGATGTAAATTATTTTTTCTAATCAGACTTATACTATATTTTACTCTGATCATAAAAACTGCAGATTTTGTTTAGTTTGTCTCATTTCTAAAAGTGCAATATTCTATACCCTTTCTCTTTTTATTGGGCATTCCAAAAAATGGATAAATTTATAGCAGATGTATTGTAGGTCAAATTTTCATAAATGTGTTTGGTTTGCAATCTAGTCAAGGGAACAAAGAGAATTGTTCTGGGAATCTCAATAAAATTCAGTATGAAATAGAAATACAGCAACTTAATCTATTTTTACTGGTTTTTCATAGGAACAAGAATTTGTGCAGAAGCAGCAACAAGAATTGGATGCATCTCTTAAAAAAATCATCCAGCAGCAAAAAACAGAGCTAGCCAGTATTGAGCGAGACTGCCTGAATAACAAGCAGCAGCTTATGAGAGGTATCCATCATCAAATTTCTCATTTGAAACTAGATTTTATTTTGTTCAACTTTTCACCTCAGAGAGCGGTTAGAAAAATAGTAACATCTGACTTTAACACTGGATGCCCTTGATTGTATAGATTAAGTTTTAAACTACAGTTTCAGTTTTATCTTTAATATGAAACAGAAATGCATTTAAAATGGCTTTGTTCTGGTAACAGAAACATGGTTAAAAATTTTTTGAGAAGTACCATGTCTCTTCTGACTCAGTTAGACCTATTTATTTGCATAGTTTTGGTCACAAAATTTTGAATTTTGCTTGTAACTGTATAAAGAAAATAATGTATTCAAGAAATTTTCATGTAATGCTTTTCTTGGATTATTTCTTCATTAAAATTATAGCTATTGATCATATTACTAGATATAGTTATTGTGATATATGAATTAATGGCTGCTTACAAATGTTATCATTTTTTAAATTAAAATATCCCAGTACTGTAATTTTAAATATATATTTATAGATTAGAAAATATTACATAATACTTTCTGAAACAAACTTCCTCCCTCTTCAGCTCGGGAAGCTGCAATCTGGGAGCTGGAAGAGCGACATTTACAGGAAAAACACCAGCTTCTCAAACAGCAGTTGAAAGATCAGTACTTCATGCAGAGACATCAGCTACTTAAGAGGCATGAGAAAGTTAGTGCTGAGTTTGTGACTTTGCTCTATATTACAGCCGTCAGTGGTTTATTAGTGTCTTGAATTCTAGACAATTAGTTTACTTGTTTTCAGGAACTTGGTTCATTCAAGTTATATTGCTCCTTTCTTGCTATATACAGCTCTCTTTTTATTTTGTTGATTCAGTCAGTACATTGAGGCACTTTCTCCAAGTTGTTTGACATGTTTGGTAACTAACATATAATGTATATTTCAAGCACTTAGAGTGGGCCAGATTTCTTGTAATTAGGAGGGAGACAGTCCATATTCAAAAAGATAACAGTCTAAATTTAAGGCCAGATGCAACAAGTCAGAGCAGTAAATGATTAGGGAGCATAAAGGGAGAGTTACAAATATAAAACACTATCTTGTGAAAGCACACTTTTACATAATTTAAGTGATCAGTCCCATCTATTTGCATAATTATTTGTTACATCAGGCCTTAAAGTAATGGAATCAAGATACTTATGACAAATGTAACCCCAAAATTAGATTTCATAAAACAAGTTTTAAAAACTAGAAAAGAAGAATTTCCATGAATGGATTCTTGCTGTTAGTATTGTTATTTTATTCCAATGGAAGATGTTGCTTTAAACCAGGGGTGGCCAACCTGTATTTCTTGAGCTGAATGTGGTTCTTTGATTAAGGAAATGCAGCTCCTGCTGGTCCTGAGCCGCGCGCCCAGACTGCTCATGGTCGGCCACTCTGCGCCCAGCGCCTAGAGGGAGAAGCGTGCGGTAGCGGCTCTGGGACCCAGGCATTATGTTAGAGTGGGGGAGGGGAAGAGGATGCCTAGCTTTGGGGGAGAGGAGGTGGATTGGGTTAGAGTTGGGGGGGGTGCGGAGATTGGGTTAGAATGGGAGGCTGGGGGTGTTTGACACTGGGGGAAAAGGAGGGGGATTGGGTTAGAGTGGAGGGGACGGGGGACTGAAGCACCTTAAACTCAAAGTCTTCATGGATGCAGAATAAGGCTGCTAACACAGATGTCATATTTAAATTCCAGGGTGAAAAAAAGAATCAGCATGTACCTGGGTTATACTGTGTTTCTTTAAAGAAAATTCAAAGGTTCTTGTTTGCCAGGCTGAAGTAATTTATTCTGAGATATGAGTCTCTCCCTTCTTGTTTTTCAACCTCTCGTATTTGCAGTCTGGGAAAGACCTGAATTTTTAGAACTATAAAAAAGCCATAATCTTAATAAGTAAAAAAAAAAATGAGGAAACCATACCAGAAATCAACAAGCTGCTTTTTTTGTGAGAGAGAATATTGCTGTATTTTTAAAGGGTTTTTTTAAAATGTGATGTTTGTTCCTTGTAAAGTTCTCTGAAGATTATGGATTGGCCATTAATTTTTTAAGTGACTAGAGACTTTTTCATTGGTTTTTCTCCAAAATGTCCTGTAATGTTGTTTTTATCACTACATTTTGTGTACGGTGTCTGTCTGTCTGTCTAAAAATAAATATGTAATATGTGGCTCCTCGCGCTCTATCTACCGCTATTTTGACTCTTCGTCTCTAACTGGTTGGCCATCTCTGCTTTAAACAAATAGTTCCCTGCAGTGTTTAGAATCTCATGATTCCAATGTTGTGTTATGCAGGAGAACCTGACAGAGATATTGACCATATTCTGAGCTACATTGCACTGGTTGTAACTCCAGAGTAATTACACTGATGTATTAAAAATGAGCATTTTAATATAGATTAAGAGCCTTTATTTCAGAATATTTAACTTCAGTGTCCCGTATAAGGCCCCAAATTCAGCAAAAATACTATAAGGCCCTATCATATTCATCGCCACAAAAAATGCATCCCAGACCATGAAATCTGGGCTTCTGTGTATTTTTAACCCTATCCTTCTAAGCTGGTCAGCTGTAGAGCAGCTGCTGGCCAGGTTCCCAGCTCTGAAGACAATGCCACCAACAGCAGCTGTGTAGAAGTAAGGGTGGCAATTCTGCTACCATACCATGCTACCCTTACCTCTGCGCTGCTGCTTGTGGGGGCAAACCCTTCAGAACTGGGCTCCTGGCCACAGCAACAGCTCTTCAGTCACCCAACTTTGAAGGCAGTGCAGAAGTAAGGGTGGCAATATCATGCCTAGTCCTGTAATATCTTTACAACCCCCTTTTTGGTCAGGACTGTTTAGTTTGGGAAATGCAGATTTTTAAGGACTTCAGGTGTTTATAATTTGCTCTTTTAAATTAAAATATGTAAACAAGTTTGTTAAAATATCTTGAAGTTTACAATTTAAATATCTGAAACCAAGACATTCAAAAATTTTCAAATGCTGTGATGGTGAAATTTACAAAAATGGACTATGAATTTGGTAGGGCCCTAATGATAAGCACATTTCCATATTCAGCAAAGAACTTGCATATATGTTTGACTTACGTGGATTAGCACCTGATCCAAAGCTTTTTGGAATCAACAGAAAGACACCCATTGGCTTCCCTAAGCTTTGAATTAGGCCCTGCAGAAATGAGATGGATGAAAGCACATGGGCCTAATTGTTTAAACATATAATGTTAGTCATATAGCAATATTATAAAACAAAGTTTTTGTTCAAAACCTTTTTAGGAAACAGAACAGATGCAACGATATAATCAACGGCTTATTGAGGAGTTAAAGAACAGGCATACTCAGGAAAGAGCAAGACTGCCCAAAATCCAGCGAGGGGAAGCAAAGACTCGAATGGCTATGTTTAAGAAAAGTTTAAGAATTAACTCATCAAGCACTCCAGAACAGGATCGGGAGAAGATTAAACAGGTGACTGACACACATCTCTGGTTTAAATACCTGAAAGTACTTGAGTCTAGTGAAGTTTTGAAGTATACTTATTAGGGATGTTAGATATTGTGTAATGGAATAGTTGTGTAACTCCATGAAATCTTAGCAGTCCAACTCCCGGGGAGCCCCCTGCAGCAGCTCAGAGTGGCAGGTGGAGCTAGTCCATGAGGGGAGCCAGTTGAACACCAGCTCCCCACACAGAATGGCTGCCTGCCACCCCTTGTTGCTGCCTCTGATACAGCAGCACAGGATGGCAGCAGCCCCTGTCTGGGGGGAGGGGCCGAGCTGTCCGCAGACAGTAGCTGCTGCTACGGTGCAGTCTTTGTCTGAGAGAAGCTTGGACCCCCCCCACGGGCAGAGGCTGCTGCTGTGGAGCAGCCTCTGTCTGCAGTGGGCCCGGGCCCATACTTACCATGGACGGAGGCTACTCCATTGGATGCGGCGCAGCTTCTGTCTGCAGGGAGCTCAAGCCTATCACGGACAGAGGCTCCCCTGCCCCCATGCCTCTCGCTGCTACAGGCAGCAGCTCAGTGTGGGGCAGGCAACGTTGGGGAGTTAGTGCTAGGGAGAACTGGCTGTTAGCCTGGTTCCCTCCAACAGCAGCTCCTGCCCCCCCCCCCTTTCCCTGCTGAAGGAGGCACTGGGGAAGGAGGGGGGAAGCGGGTGCATGTTAACCAATATGCACAGTATTCCAATAGGCAACCGATTCCCACAAGTATTGGCTCCAACCTGCCTCCCTCACCTTCTATGTTGCTGCTTCTCTGTCAGAGGCAGCACCATGGGGGTGGAGGAGTAGGCGGATCCAGTGCTAGTGGGGAGCCAGCTTTTGTTAGAGGCAGTGGGGGCAGAGGGAAATGTGTGTAGTTCACAAGGTTAACTGATACCTAGGCTTACCAGTTAATTGTTTGGATGTCTACACGATGACATCCCTAATGCTTATATGTATTCAGTTGTATTTTAAAAGGCATCGGTTTGAAGGCCTATCGATATTACCCTGTGCAGCAGCATGAGTGTCCCAAATCAGTCTCTTATGTCAGAAGGGCATGAGAATGTTAAGAACTTTATATTGCTTAGTGTTTCCTTTCATGAACAACTTTTGGAGTATAATTTTAATGAGTTTCAAACAGAGTGCCATCCAGTCCTCTGTGCAGGTTTGATGAATTTAGAATATATTTCTAAAATCATCACACTGTAAAATGGAGACTGGATTGTTTATCAGAGAACTCTACCTACTGGGTCAGTCTGGAGCAGCCATTTTTACTTGCAGTGTAAGGGAAGTATTTGTGGTTACCTTTAATCCTTCTCCAGATTTGTTTGTACAGATCAGTTGGTTGTGTGCCCCAGTCACTTTTGATGTTTCCAAGTCATGAGCACATTATAAGGTTAGCTGGAGTGCCTGCAGCAGATCAGATTACTTCAATTGGATATAACCATAGACATTTAAATGGTTCTGACTTTTGACTGCCTAGGTTTGATGCAGTCATCTGTACACCTTCTAATTATTGAATATGAATGATGTTGATCATTTTAGGCGCCAGTCCTCAAAAGACTTACCACATACTTAACTTTACATACAGTAAGTGATCCCATGGAAATCAATGTGACTACTGAGTGTGTAAAGTTAAGTACGGGCATAAGTTTTTGAATTGTTGGGGCTGTAGATTTGATGGTGTGCACTTAATAAAATAAGATTGTATATGAGGTGAAAGGCAAGAATTACTCATTTATGGCTTATGCATATTTTGAACATTCCATTATTTTTTAAAAATGTAGAGCCAGAGTCTAAGCTGGTGCAAATCCATTTGCACCATTAAAGTCAACAGTACTTTGTTGATTTACACAAGAAGATTTTGGGTTCATAATAACTGTAATTGGCATATTTTAGGGCAGGGGTGCCTAGATCTGTTCCCTGAGGCTCAGCATTAGGGAGCCTGCACTAGCCCCCCACCCAGGCTCTGATATGGGGGTCTTTCTCCTTCTCAGTCAGGAGCAACATAAGTGAAGATTCTCCCCCCCCTCTTCTCAGTTGTGTGCAGCCCCCGGCTGATTTCAGTGTGGGTCAGTGGCCCCTGACCCCAAAAAAGTTCTTCAACCCTATTTTAGTGGCACTGAAGTAGTGGTTATTTTTAAATGGGGATTTTAAACAAAGATGGAGAAGTGACATGACACAGAAGAGATGGGGGAGGAGCCTACTTTGGATAAGGGTATAATGGAAAATTCAGGAAATTACACTGATGACTTTAATCTTGTAACGTTCTGTCTAGTTATACTTTACATCCATTATGTTCTTTACATCCCTAGAAAAATCATTTATAAGATATAGCAGTATTAAGTACAGTATAAATCACCTACTCTGCTTTTAATTTTAGTTTGCTACTCAAGAAGAAAAGAGGCAGAAAAATGAGAGGTTGGCTCAACATCAAAAACATGAAAATCAAATGCGGGACCTTCAGTTGCAGTGTGAAGCAAACATCAGAGAACTGCACCAATTACAGGTTAAACATATAGAGCATAAAATAAGCAGTGTATGATGAGAGTCATGTTAATCAATACCAAATGAGCAAATTCTGAATTTACTGATTAGGAAAATGTTTTGCTGGTTTTTTTCTTACAGAAATACCTACCTATATAGAAATTGAGAGCCTTCTCTAAGAGATGCAGTATATTATAACATAGTTAATGATAAATAGATTTCCGTGCACACACACTAAAATAAGAAATATTACCTTTGTGCTTACCAACCTTTGTTTTAACTGCTATTTTTCTTTGGCAATATTTCTTTTTAATATTTTTTAATCAATATTCAGAACAGAGACAGGCAGCACCATCTTCTGTTAATTGATTTTTCAGTTCCTCTGCGTGATGTCAGTATCTCACCATAACAGTAGCTCTATAGTACTATATGTAATGAACCCTGTCTTGCATAGGACAGGATGCTGATTATATCTGCAGTTGTGGGACACAACTAAATTTACAGTGATCTAGGCCTCAATTTTTGGTCCTTTCATGACGTAAGTTGTAAAACCAGCTGCTGTACATCATTCGCCATATCCTCTTCCCCATTAGGGCTATGTCAACACTACAAAGAAAAGTTGGAAAAAGATACGCAAATTGCTTATCCTGTTTTTCTTTTGAAAGAGGCTTTTCCGAAATTTGGTGCATCTGTATGGCACGAAATTTTGGGAAAACCTCCTCTTTTTTGACACATCCCTTTTTCTTCGTAAAATGAGGTTTACAGGGATGCCGAAATAACGCGTCTGCTTTTCCCTCCCCACATAGACATAGCCTATTTTGCTCCAGTAACCTAAGGCAGATTCAAGATTTAAGTGACCTGCCAGTGGAAATCCTACAGTAGCATACAGCCAAGGAAACTGGAGCTGCACCACTCTTTCACAGCACCATGTGGAAGTGAACATGTTCACAGCATTGATGTGCTTCAGTGAACCCCCCTGCTCTGTACCTCATTAGGGGCCATTTCAGCTGGTGTAAGTTAGACCTCCCCTTTGGCTGCTTTGAGCTGTAGCAGGGGATAATTTGGCTCCCAGCTGGCTTCAGGAGGAAGACAATGATGTAAGGGTACAGCACCATTAGCTATCAGTGTTCCCCATTCTTCAGGTCTTAGACTGAGCTCAGCTAGGATTGATGCCTAAGACAACCTTGGTGATGTAGGTTCTTTGGCAAATGTTTATAATGAAAGTCTTCAGCAAGGTATTAAGCATATCCTTGCCTTTACGCAGGTTAGTAATAGGGATGTAAAAGGCTAATCGGTTAACTGGTAAGCCTCCTTAATGGATGAGGCTTACTGGTTCCAGATAACCAGTAAGGGCTGGAGCAGCTCTGTCTGTGTCCAGCCCACTCCGCTCCCCCTCCCCCCCACCTCCAGGTTATACGCTGGCTCGCGGCTACAGAGCCCATGAAGCTCCCTGGGAACGTGGCTGGCAGCACCCCCTGCTGGTCCCATTTCTGGGGAGGTGGCTTCACTGCCGCGGTAAAGCTTCCTCCCCATGAGCAGGGCTGGAAGTAGCCCTGTCCCTGGTCCTGGGGAGATGGCTTCACTGGCCTCTCTGCAGTATCTGGCTCCCCAGGAGCAGGGCTGGCACCAGGGAGCCAGATACTGCAGAGCTGCCAGCAAAGCCATCTCCCCAGGAATGGGTCCAGGGTTGCTTCCGGCCCTCCTCCTGGGGAGGAAGCTTTACTGTGGCAGTGAAACAGCTTTCAAGGAGCTGGTTGTCACTCTGCAACCCGCAGTGAAACCTTCCTAGGAGCACTGGCTTGGCTTGTTCAAGTTATACTGCAGAACCCGCAGCGGTGTATTACAGTAACTTTAGCAGTTACACGGTAACATTTTTACATGTCTTTTTACATCCCCAGTAAGTAGTCCCGTTCCCTTGTGCCTTGTTGGGCTACTCATCTCTTTAAAATTGAGTAGTCCTTTGGCACCTTAGAAACTAACAAAAATCTAAAGAGTATCATGAGCTTTCGGTGGGCAGATGAGCTCATGTGTTTAAGGTTAGCCATGTGCATAAATATCTTGCACTCTCCTGTGGCTTGTTGCCTTTTACCTCTTTGTAGTTGTGATTCTGATACTCCCTCAAGACATATAGCCTTTGATTTGTCAGTCAGCCTCAACTACTGGAATCAATGGCTGAGGTGGTTGCAAGCATACTGTTCTAATGTGAGGAGCTCTTAAATTGAGTCTGACAAAACTGACGTGACTGAACAGAGCAGATGCACTGTGTGACACTGAACAGATTAGCCAGTAAGACAACATGCAGTGTTGAGTGACGTTATCTTCTACACCAGTGGTTCTCCAACCGTGGGTCAGGACCCCAAAGTCGGTTGTGACCCTGTTTCTATGGACTCCCCAGGGCTGATGTTAGACTTGCTGGGGGCCAAAACTGACGTCTAAGTCCCACCGCTTGGGACCAGAGCACGAGCCCCTCTGCCCAGGACCTAAGCCACAGTGAAAGGGCTTCAGCTCTGGGTGGCAGGACTTAGGTAATAGGACCCCTGCCTGAAGCTGAAGCCTTTGGGTTTCAGCTTTGACTCCTGCCTCCCCCACCTGGGGTGGTGGAACTTTGGTCCCTGGGTAGTAATTGTTGTTGTCAAAACAGGATCACAGTGCAGTGAAGTTTTAGAACCCCTCTTCCAGGCCAGTAAAACACATTTCACAATATTCTGATATGCCATATTTTATAACACACAATCATTGGGTCTGTTGGAAACATGAGGTCTTGATAAGAATACAGTACTAACATTGCATTATCGTATAATTATTTCACATCACAATATGCAGTGTAAGCTGGTTTAAAAGAATTAGGGCAACATATGTTACTGTGCAAATGGTTAATTGTCTAATCTGAATTAGTTTTCTTTAAGGATTATCTGCCTTACTTTCAGAATGAAAAATGCCATCTACTAGTTGAACATGAGACTCAGAAACTAAAAGAGTTAGATGAAGAACACAGCCAAGAACTGAAGGAATGGAGAGAGAAACTAAGACCAAGAAAAAAGGTAACCAAGAACTGTTTATAAGCAGAAGACAGATAAATGTTGTATCATACTCTGAAATTGAATGGTTACAAATAGGGCAGGACAAAAAATCAATCCCAGGAAAACAGTGAAATTTAATATACAAAAAAATCGGTAGAGTATCTAGAAGCTACAGTGCATACAAGGGAGGCAGACCCAAGAAGCTTGCAAGTTATCCACCTTTTAGCATCTAATAGAATGTTTGTGCCCGTGTGTTTGTGTGTGTAAAAATAAATTGGACACTTAAACATAGCTACTGCTTTGGGCAGATTGTTTTATAGATGCAGACTAAGTGAAATAGTAAGACCTGAATGTTCAATTTGATGTTTGTCCATGTTTTTTGTAGTCTGTTACGTGAAAGTTGGACAAATAATACAGTGTAAGTGGATTTCTTTATACTTCACCATATACACTTTTGTTAATCTGTTCTTTTTAGACACTGGAAGAGGAATTTGCTAGGAAACTTCAAGAACAGGAAGTTTTCTTTAAAATGACTGGAGAGTCTGAATGCCTTAACCCTTCAACACAGAGCCGGATTTCCAAATTCTATCCAATCCCTAGCCTGCACTCCACTGGATCGTAACTAGGAACTTCTGTAGATTTTCTTATTTGGAATTCTCATATCTCCAGCTTCTGCCACAGTAGAATTTACAAACTACATCAGAGGATCTCAGTGCTTCTAAGTTTCAGTGGAGACAATCAACTGTCACTGTCAAGATTTTCCTTTTTGTTTCTGATGGGGAGAAGACGAAATAGAAGAACAGACATTGATCTGCAATGATAATATGATGTCATCGTTCAGATGTTTCAAGAAGAATTTTTTTCTTTATAAATCTGTTTCAGAAATGTTGTCTACTGTTTTGACATTAAGCAAATAAGCCTACAATGTTAGATATAGTCATTAAGGTCACAAAAAGAAACTGTTACACAAGTTATATGAACAATGCAATATTATTACCTTTTATTAACACTGATTTATCCACCGCAGAATTTCACAACTGAATCTGTGCTGTAAAGAGTTTAAAAGTTTTGTGTTATTGAGAGAGTCATTCTTAACCTGGGGCAGAAATATTTCTTCAAAGTGTATTGTTGAATTAGAAGAAAAAGAGCCTCAACATAATTAGTTACAGCAAATGCCTTTAAACATTTAAAAATAAATCTTCTGGCATCATAACTCAAGCAACCAAACCTCCATTACATGTTTTGTACATTAAAATCCATGATGAAATGGGGTGCTAGTTTCATTAATCCAGTGCCTGAGATACTTATTAATCTTTGCAATAGGATAGGCTTTTATTGTTGTTTTAAAAAAAAAAACCTTCTTAGTATTGGTTACTGTAAAAAAAAATCTTGCTGCTACTGCCATTTTTGTCATAATTCCTCACCCTAAAATATTTTGCACTAAAATATGTAAAGGTGAAAAACCGCTAACTTTAAAATGCACAAGTTATTATTTTCTTTACACATCAGAGGTATTTACTTCTACAAAATGAAGTAAAAACTATAGAATGTATTTTCAAAGTATAATGTGCATTTGCACATTGTTTCTCTAACATACTTGGACTGGGTAGATGAATCCTTCTGTTTTTACCAAAGTCTCTTCATTTGAAACTCCATCAGAGAAGTGGAAGTGGCTGGTCATATTTATGAACTAATTGCCGATATCTGATATGAATAGAAATATTTTGAAATTTTTGTTTGTCAATTTAAGTTAAATATGTAGACAAACTACTTTACAGATATGTATGTGTTTGGGTTGGGGTTTTTTTGCCACATAATAATTAACGTGTTATGATTTTTATTTTTCAAGTTCATACGTGTACTGTGGGTTATTTACTTGATTGATTTGCAGTGGGAAGAAAAATCTGAAATGTTTATCTTGTACCCGGTGAGGAAAAGGAAAAGTAGACTTGGAGGTTTAGAATTTTGAGTCATATCAAGACAGTATTATAAACTGTACATTGGTATGCCAAAGTTAAATTTGTAAAATAATGTTTGGTTTGTCATTTGAGATGATCTTTTAGTATCTTTGTAAAAGTTCTTTTATTTTTGTTTGTTTGATGCAAGCTAGCAAAAGAAATGAGACTGCTGAACATATAATGTTCATTTCATGGGAACAGTGATGCATGTGAAAGAACTGATTATAAATTAATGTAGAATTTTAATTAGCCTTGGTTGAAATCTTGGATGCTGAACTTTTAGCCTGTTAGTGCAGACAATTTAAATTAACAGCACAGTAAAGATAATTGAGAAATGCATGTTTTTGCTTAAATTTTGTAACATTTTTGATAAGCATAACTTACTCTGAAAATTACTTTATAGCTAGCCTTAATTTCTGGCATTTTATTATATAAATATGTATTGTGTACTGGATGTAAATTCACATACCATATCATACTAGAATGTTATATGTCGCTATTTGCAAAATTCTGTAATATGTTTATTTTAAAATGCTAGGGTGAAAAATGTCTTTGAAGGCCTCTACTTTTTAAGCTACATCTTTATAAAATGACTAGAACTAAATATAATATTAAATAGTGTTTATATCGCTATAGTCACCAGAACAATGTGTGAAAAACGGTTGCAAAGTACATTTAGTGTTTAATTTTTTGTGAGGGCGTCAGGCAGATTTTCCCTATCCAAACTATGCTTTCACCTCATTCACAATGTTTACTCGCTTCCCAGGCAGGGTATATTTTTTTCTCCTCACACTCCCATCATTTTTGGTTATTTGAATTATCTTTTGCTAATCTGTTTTATGACGCACTATATATCTTGTTCTGCATTTGTAAGACTTTTTATTTGACTTCCACTACCTTCCTCAATAATCTCTGTAACCTTATCCCTTCAGAAGTTGGATAAACTAATTTATTAAAAGAATACAGGAAGGGAATGTAGCAGCTGAAACCTCCTCAGACAATGTGTGGTCTGGTATGGATTTAGAATATTTCCAGTTATACTGCATTCATTAAAATATCTTACAGTATTTTGAAATGTCTTGATAAATAACATCTGATGTAAAATTACCATTTGGTAATAAAATCTAGGGTAAAATATTGTTTAGGGGCAGGTAAGCTTATAGAATTGCTTTTTTGAAGATTATGGAACATGAAGGAGGTGCACAAGATTGCTTTTATGCCTTTGCTAATGACACGTTTAAATTCAGTCTGAAGCCTGATCTCACTTATTTTCAGATGAAACAATTGCCTTTTTCACTGAATCTGGTATGCTAAAATGTCATGCTGCCTTTACTTCTAAACAGCATGGTCACAATCTGCACATGCTCACTTTTAATTCCAACCTCATGATAAATGCCACCAGAACAAGTGTACAAACTTATGAAGTGCAACTGAACATTTCAGTTGTCGTCCTTTATTTACAACACTTTCCCTTATTTAAAAGTACAGTTAGTCCCACTGGGATCTGCTTTTCCAGAAGATATTGAGACTTCTAAATTAGTGCCAAATTCTTCTCACCTGGTCCCTTAACTTCAGACTTTTTTGTACTCTCTTCAGTATTTCTTTGGAAAATGAATGTGGTGTTGACATTCTGCTAACATGCAAGTCCAGGAAAACTTCTGCTCTGAATCCATCCTAAACAAAACTGTAATCTACACAGTGGAAATTTCCCGTATGAATCAGCTGAAATTCCAGTGCCACAGATCATCTGCACATAACAGGTGCTGCACTTCTTGTGCACCTCCCCTCTGTATAGCTCCAGGCTGACCCTTGTTGCTTTTGGCAGAGTCAGAGCCTTAGGTCTGTTTTCGTGGACCCTGGAAGCAGGCTTCAGTACCACCTTACGTGGCTCACTTAGGCCCTGACCCTGTAAACATAGATGAGTTCAATAGCACTACTCACAGCATGAAGCCACTACTGCGTTTAAATGTTTACAGAGTCAGAGACTTTGTTAGTAGAACCTTTCAGGTGGATACCTCAGATTGCTGGATAATCTGAATTCTGTCATACTTACTGTAGAAGGTTCTTGATCCCATTTCTGACGCTCCTACCCAGAACTAAAGCAGTCTCCTTAAAGTTAAAATGGTCCTCCGATCACAGCGGCCATAGAAAGTGATATCTGGGCCCTACCACAGTCCATGAGCGTTTTACTTTTGACTTCAATGAAGCCAGAATTGCACCCTCTTTTCCCCCTCTGAGGGGTGTAAATTTATATACACAAGGAATGTTTAAAAATATTTTTTTCTAAGCTTTCTCCTGCCCCCACGTACACCCATTGTAAAATGAAACAACATACAGGACTGAAAGCACACCCATTGTAAAATGAAACAAAATACAGGACTATGTGGCACTTTAAAGACTAACAAGATGGTTTATTAGATGATGAGCTTTCGTGGGCCAGACCCACTTCCTCAGATCAAATAGTGGAAGAAAATAGTCACAACCATATATACCAAAGGATACAATTTAAAAAAAAAGTGAACACATATGAAAAGGACAAATCACATTTCAGAACAGAAGGGGGATGCGGGTGGGACGGGGGGGGAGAAGGTGGCTGTGTCCTAGGAATTCTGTCCATACCAGGGAGAGGAGCGTTCCTTGCTCCATGGCCTTGCCAGGAAATTTCATTCTGTTGTATTAAAACAGCACACAATTGAGGTTCTTACCAAAAGGTTGTACGCAGCTGTTTTGTCACCTGGGGTCAGGGATGTCCTCATTTGACTTGAAAGATTTTCTTGTAGAAAACTCAGAATAAGCAGAAATTAAATCAGGTAAGGCTGTATTACTGCCTTTTATGTCAACCGTCTGACTGGAAGTGAGTGACGATTGGGGCCACTCAAAGCGACTTTCTACAGGATTTTTTGAAAGCTGATTATTTCAAATGATGTATCGGGACTTTATGCTTGAGGAGGAATTGTCTGTTCAGTCAAGCCTTTCACCAGAAAAGGAAAAATACCTTTCCCTTTGGCTTTCTGGCAGTGCCATGCTTCATTTGTATAATTTATTCAAATTGTTTGGCACACGGAGGTTTTGTGCAATAACAAGCAGTGTGGCTGGGGTTTTTTTGCACAAACCCTTATGTGAATGATGACTAGTCACATTGAGCAAGAGCTGAAACCATCAACCACAAATTTAAAAAAAAATCAAAGTTTGCCAAGGTGTACTTCTGCATAAGCAAAAACAAAGATTGTACTAAGTGCAAGTGCTGTATGGATGAATCAGGTGCGTGGAAAGTATTAAAAACCATTAGAGGACATTTTATAAATTACTCTGCCTGTAGCCTGGTCATAGTCGCATGCCTTGGTGTGATAGTGTCAGCATCTGTTGAGATTTTATACAGTAACAACTGTCTACACTGCACTTCTCTACCGAGCAGATGTCTCAAACATGCTACACAGTTACCAAATTTTACCCAGCTACCTTTGTCAGGCAATTTATTCCATGAGCTATTTTGCATATTTACAGATAATTTGTATAGAAACAAATTTCAGCTTTAAACCACAGTGTGGATTTATTGATGGGGGAAGACCTCTCTGCCAGAGCCCTGGTAGATTTAGGTCCCTGTTGAACTCTCCTGCACAAGTCCAATGACAGTCTTGCACCCTACTCTGTCAGCATGCTTTAGCCTAGGACTTAATCCAGAGCAACTGGCCTTTCAGTTTCAGGTAGTGTCCATGTGATTCTTGGTCTTTCTACTGAGACTGACAATTAGTGCAAAGTCAGCCTTTTCGTTTGTGTTGAGGCCTGGGCCAGACCCATCAAACCCGTTACATAGGCCCCACCAAACTTCCATTATGTGAAAATTCTCTGAGCTGGGCTAGATGAATACTAATGCTTAACACATGAAAATGCTGTAGGCCCATGGAGTAGATTGCGATCTACCAGTAGATCTCAGGGGCTCTAAGTGTAGCTCTTGAGCCCTCTCTGAAGTGCGTGCCTGCGCAGTACATTTACATTAGATTTCCTCATTTGAGGAGCAGCTACTTACCGAGCAACAACACAGGTGAGTAGCTGCGAGGAATGGTGGGAGGTCGGGAGGGCTGAAACACCCCAGCCAGCTGACTGTGGCTTTCAGCTGAAAGAGGCTGCCCTGTGCTCCAGCTGATCAGCGGCTTTCCCTTTGTGCCTGCCCACGTGGAGCTTGGTGCACTCTGGCTGAGTGCCAGGGCCAGCTGGCTGGGTAGCCACTTTTCTTCGCTCTAGCCTGGCTGCCCTGTGGTCAGTCCTTCTGTGCAGAAACCAGTTCCTTCTGGCACCCTGTCTCCTACTACAGAAACCTGTCCTGGCACCCTGCCTCCTCTCCCCTGCCCCCACTGGCACCCTGTTCCCTGCCCCAGAACCCACTAGCACCCCTCCCTAGTACTGTGTCCCCTGCTCCCAAAGGACTTTTCTATGGGTTAGTGACCCTTTACTCAAGGCAGGTTTCCTGTCATTCTCATAAAGACAATGCAGAAACTTTTTGTGTTTAACATAGTATTTTATTTAAAAATGAAGCCTAGCCAACAAGCCCCCATCTGACCACAACCACTCCTGCATTCCCCCTTCCCCAGACCCTAGATCTGAGCCTATCAAACACTGGAACCTCCTGCCCTCTGCCCCTCACATACCCCAACCCAAATTCCTGCCCCCTCACATCCGCAAGCTTGTGGCTTGCTTAGTATCCCAACACTGCCCAGCCTGGAGCCTCCTCCCCGAGCCAGCGTCCCCTTCTCCACCTCCTCCTGCATCCAGATTTCCTCCCAGAGCTTGCACCTCTCACCCCTTCCCACACCCAAATCCCTCATTCCCACCCCAGAGACTACACATCCTGTCTCAACACAGCAAGGGTCCAGCTAGACTGCAGGAGTTTTTCAGGATTCTGGAGATAGCCCAGAAAAACTCTTCTGCATCCAGGGTTTTGTTGTTTGTTCTCCTTTTTTAGTGGAAGAGCAAACAGGCTCTTTTAGTCACCCCTATACTCCTCTTTCCACAAGCAATAAGGTGGCTTCCAAAAGAAGGGTTTTTTTCCTGACATTTGGTCCAGTCTAGACAGGCCAAATGTTGGAAAAACCTCTTCCTACAGAAGAATTTTCTTTTTAAAGCAGCAGTATAAGTATTGGGGATAGCAAGTGATGGAGAGGAGGAGAATAGAGAGGGCGGGGCTTCAAGGAAGGGGCGGGGCGGTAGATCTTGGCTTGGTCTGTATTTTAAAATGTGATCTTGGGTGTAAAAAGGTTGGAGACCACTGCTGTAGGCCATGGCTGGTGGCAGCCAAGCATCCAAAAAACATGTACACCCCTCTTCAGTTATTGCCAACCACACCAGTAAAACTCTTGTCAAGTCCCTCAAAAGCGTGGGAATTGCTTAAAAATGATGAGATTTAAAATCATGTGTTTTTTGGGTCAGAGCCTGAGTTCTAACACCCCTCCCCTAGCCCCATGTCTCATGGCAAAATTCAACCTGAAAAGGAACAAAAATGTGCACACACCAATGAGCGGGAAGCCTCCCACCTCCCTTCATATTTGAACAGCCCAATTCCCCGCATTCAGCCCCTGGGCTGTCTCAGGCTTCCTGAGGGATTGTGACTAAGCTTTGTCCCCATTCCATGTGCAAAGTGTAGCCTCTTTATTCCCCTAGCAGAGTGTAACAGCCCCCACTCCAGCATGGCTGATCCCCTCTGGCCCCAAAGCTCCTTCCCAATCCTCCCCCACCCTCACCAGGCCCCAGCAAACCCCACATTCCCTCCCACAGGCAACCCCCTTCTTCCCCTTCACTCTGCCGCTGCAGGCCCCAAGGCCTTGCCCTTCAGCCTACGGAAAGAAGCTGCCATGCTGGGACATGGCTGCCCCAAATGCCTACCTCCCCTCACTGGCCTGGCTCCCAGTGATTCATCCATGGAGACTCCTTGCTCATTGGCAGCAGCTCTGCCTTGCTTGGGGCCCCGTAACCTTGAGTGGCTCACAAGGGGAAACCAGTCCCGGCCACTCGCCAAACAATCCACCCCCCAAACCAGAACACCACTGCTCAAGTTACAAGTGGTGGCAGCATGTGATAACATTAGTGGCAGCTAGTACTGGGCAGGAGCAGGGAACAAATGAAACTCCTGGCCTACCTCTGGGAGTCCAGCAGGGGCTAATGGGCAGGTTCTTGGCAGGGGTCTGTACTGAGTACGATCACAAGCCGTGCTGTCTAGGATGGAGACCTGCAGCACGAGGTAGGGAAGTGGCGTGACCCAGTTCACACAAGGAGGCCGCACCTGAATGGAGAACGGCCAGGCCAAGTGCTGTAGCTGCCAGAACATCCTTTACAGCTTGGCTGAATTGCTTCCTCCAGGCTCTTAACCACCCCCTCATTAATGAGTAGCCCAGACCTGTTTGAAAGAATGGCCAGGCAGTGTGGTCTACAAACAACCGGCCCCACTCCTCCGTTTAGGGCAGTCAGTTATTTTTTGTCAAGCTCCACATTTCTTGGGTATGGCATAGTCCAGGTCTAGACACTAGAGAAAATAATTTTAAAATAACAATGATAAGTAAATAAAAAGATTTTGTAGTCTGTGCAAAAGCACCTAGCAAAAAAGGCCAGTCTGCCTCTGTAAAAGCCACAGAATTTCACTGGTTAAACCACGTTGGAAACTAAAAATTACTTTCTTCCAAACAAAGAGGCGCAGAGACTGGAAGGAGGGGTGCTGTTGCATCCGCTGGCTTGATGTGGTTTCCATCATACACAGGGTTTCCGGTTTGGTTCAGTGTGCTCAGTCTCACCACTGTACAAGTTATTTCGGTACCCCAGCTAGGAGGAGTTTGGTAGGTTTTCCAGGCATTGACAGGAAACACATGTACAGACTCCAACACTGTTGCAGTAGTTAAACAAGACACCAAGTGAAACTTTTCAGGGCATTTTATTACAAAGGGAAGGTCTCATCAAGTACAGGCATTGTATGTACAATCCAATAGTAAACTTTGTTCATTTAAAAATACAGCAAGCTTCTGTGCATTCAGAAAGCCAGCCAGTTAAACACAGCCCGTGTTTCAAACCATCAAAACAAAATAATACAGGAACCAAATGGACCAGCTAGACTTTGTAGCATGGGCCCTTCACTAGAGTTAGTGAATAAAACTGATGAGTGGTGTTTACGCTTTGAATGAAAGTAAGCAGATGTTGTTTTCAGTAAGATCTATGATTTGATCTATGAAGCTCAGATACCAAACCTGTCTAGCAATTAAGCGCCCAGTTCCAGTTTAACACCTTTAAATGGAGGAAAATCAGCATTTGCCAGCGTAGAGCCTTGAGATTATCCACAGGGTAATTTTGGAATTGAGTATACCTGACTAAGCAGTTGGGGGATGGGGTTGGTGTGTGCTACTGATGTGTCTCTCAACGGGCAGGTGAGGTAAGACTGTTAAATGGAAAACTGCATACACTTCAGTGGTCAAATGACTGACTCGTTAATCTCTGTAGGTCATAGAGCCCTTCCAGTTAAGCCAGCACATGGCCAGTTCTGTCCCTGCCAGATTAGCCCTGCACTGATGGGATAAATTTAAAATTGTGAAATCATTGGACTGTTGAAAAAAATGAAGATGTTGTCAACGAGACAAAGGGGCCATTCTCCCCTTGCCCCATGTGTGTAATTCCCTACTAACGATGGAAATCATGTGCCCAGTCAGCAGGCAGTTGGCTATTTAGGTTGACTATGTTCATTGTACAATTAGGACAGTGACCGTTTGTCACAAATAAAGCTCACTTTGATAATGTGCCGTGATGTGATAGGACGTGCTGAAAACATGCCTGGTTCTTGAGGTGCCTAGTGTTACCATCTCCATGCATGATGTGTTGTGTTTCGTTTGAGCCAATGAACCCTAATGTTAGCCTTGTGACACTGAGGCTAATGCTGAGTTCCAAATGTAAATCCTTGATCGGAGAACATAGGGTTAAAACACACAGTAATTGGGAGGTTTACATTCAAAATTGCATTTTCCCCCACCTTAAAAAAAGAACCGTATAAAAATATTTTTTAAAAACAACAAATCATGTTTACCAAAAGTGCTTAAGTTCTAATGTCCCCACACCCTTCACATCTTGGCAATGCAGTTGGCATTTAAAATTAAAAGGATATTTGGCAGAGTCACCTGCATAGCATATGGGTGCCCATCCTGGGTGTGTCTGTATGCAATTGCATGGCAGTGTTGTAGGACCACGCTTTGTAGCATTGGCCTATGAAAGGAACAGATGTGGCATCTGTTTCTACTGCAATATTACATGGACTTATCAAGCAGCTCCAAATGCATTTCTGAGTGGTGCCAAAAAGTGTGTTTGAAATTTATAAGGGCCGCCTCCATTTTAGTAATAATGAAATGGTAACATCTTACCACTGCACCTGTGCAGGTGGGAAGCTGAAGTGTAAACAGAGGTCAGGTATTTCTCTGTGTGCTCTAGTGTCTGAGTTATGTTTACTCTTCAGTTTCCATTGCTGGTGAATTACATGTCCGGCGTTTGACAGCATAGCTGCTCCCCAGTTTTTGACTGTCAAATGATACGGAGACTTCCACGCATCCCTCCACCCACTCTGCTTCACCTCCAAGAAATCCTGATCCCTGCAGAAGTGTGGCTGAGTTTCTTACATTGTTGCTTTCATCAGAACACAGCAAAAAGAAGAGACAATCCATAGCCATGCACAGCGACGGGTGGCAAGTACAATGAAACCTGCACTCAAGCTCAGTGGCTTGAGACAACCTACTTCTATGATCTCCAAAGCCTCCCAATCACTTTTGTCCAAGTTTCAGTTCAAAACCTTGGCTCGGAGTCTGATTTCAGAAAAATTGCTCACCTGCCTGGATTTTTTAATTTCCAGGGTGCTTGAGTAGTTGGTTAAAGCAGGTTTTACTGTATTTATCTAAGTCTGGCATTAATGCAAGATGCCTGTCTTGGTGACAAAGGAAGTCCTTAGAAGACCTAAGTTACAAATACGGGAACGTGAATACAATTTGCATCAGTGGACAATGTGTGTGTGGGATTAATGCACAGAGACCCATCTGTTTGCTGGGCAGTTCAAACTAGAGTCATTGAAAGCCCAACAACACCAAATTGAAAAACAAAGACCCGTCCTGAACTACCAAGTCTGTGGTTAGTTGACTGACTAGGAAGATGTTCTAGCAGGAAGCCAGTAAAGAGGCAGATTCTCGACTAGATTCCAAAATGGCAGCCGTGGAGCCGGCAGAACGGAATGCTGATCCCAGTGCTTAACTTAAACCTCCGACACTTCTTCTTTTTCTTCTGCCAACAAATACTTGCTCACCTAAGAGAGAGAGAGCAAGATTGGGAAATGCTGGGTATAAAAAGGCAAAGTCACCGGAGACGGGTTGTTCTGGTGACACCTTAAAGCATTCACCTGCCTTTCGTTTTCAGACCGATATTTGCCCTTGGGTTTTGGTACGCATATAGCCTTCAGTCCCCCTAGTGCAGAGGGCATATGCAACACTGCAGCCTCTATGGCAGGGGGTTCGTAGTGGTTATTTATGAAGGTTTCCATGAGGTTGTCTATCGCCATGGTATCTGAGTTGCCTGGGCTGTGTGCCGCCTCTGTGTCTTGGCCTTAGTTTCACCCTTTGTGAACCCCTACACTTGGTCTCGGCCATCTGATCTACGGCAAGGGGTATTTTTGGCCCTCACAGAACTCCCCCTTGGTTCCAACCATGGTTTAGGATTTGGCAATGGAAGGGCCTTTTATAGCAGTAGGATTCCTTCCGGTGTGAGTTATTTTGGACAGTGAATATAAAGGCAAGAAGCAAAAGGTGCTCCCTAAAATTCAGAGGCTGGCCCAGAGAGTATTCTCCAAGCTGCTAATGAGGGCTCAGCGCCAGCTGTCCAGAGGGCCCCTCGGAGGAGGGATGGAGCATGTGGCTCTGCTCTGGGCATTGAGGGAAGAGGGATTCTGTTCCATTTACTCCCGGAGGTGGGAGAGGTAAATGGGAGGCGCGGTCAAGCGACTCGCCCCAGGGTGCAGAGCAAGTCCAAGCTGGAGGCAGGATTCAAACCCAGGCTCCCAGCCCTCATTGAAGCCACCAGAAGATGCCCCCAAGGGCTATGTCAACCCCCACACTGCTGATTACTTTCAGGAACAACAGCATTGCGCAAGAGGGTTTTTGTTGCGCAAGAAGGGGCAGTGTAGACAGCTTCTTCTGGCGCAAGAGCCTCTTCTGCAAAAATGGCGGCTCATTAGGCATGCAAATGAGGCTCGGCGATATTTCACACTTAGCCTCATTTGCATATTTCTCCCGCAAGAAGCCGCCAGTGTAGACATAGCCAAGCAGTGCAGAGCACGTGCAGCACTGCAGCCCTTGGGGCGGGGGTAAGTAGTGGTGACTGGCCATTTCTTACCTTTCTCTCCTTTTTCCCCTTTGGGGCCCCTAGGTCCTTGGCGTCCTGGAGGCCCCATTGGCCCAGGTTCACCTGCAAGAACAAGACGGACATGTTTGCTTTTCATTGTGACCTGCAGGTCAATCGCCCCCCCGCCCCACTCGTTGCTTATGGCAAGAGCTGGGGTGGGGGAAAAGGGGGTATCAAGGCTAGGGTGACGCTAGGGATCAGAGGCTGAAGACAATGCATGCAATGCGCAGCTAGAAGACTCTTCCCAGAGCCTGTGCTGCTGGCTGGTTGGCAGAGGTTCCTGGACTTGAGTGCAAGGAGGCAGCAGGTTTGCAGTTCTTACCTTTGGGCCCTGGGTAGCCCCTGGCTCCCTGCTGACCAGGTGGCCCTGGGATGGTACCATATGCTGTAGGGGAAAAGGAATGAATGCATCAGTGGGATGTGCCAGCAAACATGCCCTTGACCTGGCTGCAGAAACACCAAGCCGCCCTGCAACCAGACTCCGATCCAGGCTCTCTGGTCTGTTTTCCTAAGTGGTCTAGCCTGGTCTGTTTGGGGTTTTCTTTCTGATTTGGGATGTTGGGGAGGCTCTGGGCCAGATTCTGATCTCCCTTCCCCTGGAACAGCCCTGCTGGCTTCAGCCGGGTGTCTCCAGATCCTCACCGATGCCACCCAGAGCAGAGGAACACGGCACAGGGAGTTCTTAGCGAAACGTATGGAGCTGCAGGTGGAACCTGCACAGCTGGCGTAGGATTGCCCCACAGGCTGCTGTAAACAGTTCTACAAAATGTGATGGGCTAATGGGGCTGTCCTGACTGAGGCTAAATGCTTCCCGACCCTGTGCTGAGCGGCAAGCGAGGCCGAAGACGGAAAGAGCCTTTCTCCTTCTGCTTGTGGCACAGGGGACATGCTGAATTTCGGGTCCTACTCTTGCAGTATGCAAGGGCCAGCGAACGTTGCCAATGAGAGAAGCCCAGGGAACCCCACCCTCTCTGAGCACCTCAGCCAGCAATGCTGGGCCAGCGTGGGGAGGCTGCGAGAACACATGACGTTCTGGCACGAGCAGGGAGGGAGCAAAGTGGTTCTTACTTCTGAAGAAGTCCATGAGGTCCTCAGTGACGTTGCCATAGTTTGCAAACACCCTGCTGATCCCAGGTGGCCCAGGAGGTCCTGGTGGACCTTGCGCAGCGTAAGCGACCACGTCCCGAAGGAGGCCTCGGCCTGGGAAATTAAACATGGGGCTTAAAGCAACGACAAAGAGGGCAGTGACAGAAGCTTCGGCAAGGCAATCCCTGTCCTGGGGTGATTTGAATGGCAGATTCGTGGCCTATTAACATTGCTCCAGCCCTGCAGGGTGAATTCCAGGGGCTAACCCAGTAAGAGATCCCCTTTTCCTGCAGGAGAGGACGACTCTTAGAGGGTTGTGCTGCATGTGGTTTCACTGCTCTGGAGCTTGTACTCAACGTCTTGGAGGAGTGCGGTTTAATTTGCCCTTCTAAATCACCAGAGAACAACGGCCCCTGTGCGGGGGACCAACACAAGAACCCCAGGACCATGCGAGCCCTAATTTGAGGACGTCAGAGGGACTTGGGTCTTGCCCTGGTACCTCTGCACAGGCGCCATTTCACCCAAAGACAGAGGGAGGCGAATCCCCCAAAGCCGTGCGTTTCAGTGTCATTTCCCTGGGCAGGTGAGGGCTGCCCCTTGCCTACTGCTAGAAATAACGAAGCTCAATTCATTCTGCAAAGAATTCACAGATCACTCTGCACCCAAGGGTTTGTGACTCTGCAGTAATTTGCTCCCAGTGGCCCAGGAGAAGAAGTAGCCTGGTCCGGGAGGCTAATTTCCGCCTCCTTGCACAGGAATTTTCTGCTGGCGAGGATCAGTAGCTCTGTGCCTTGCTCCCAGGGGCGATGGCCTTGGGAGAGAGCTGCAGCCAGCATTGCTCAGCCAGAAGGAGTTTTGGCCCATCCGATGGGAAGGAGGTAGGAAGGGAAGGGGGTGATTGAAGAGAGATGGGGTGTTGGAGGACTCAGGGAGTTGAGGTCCCACGTGCAGTGGGAGAAGACTCCGCACTCACTCTGGATGCTCTCCGACACCCGAAGCGCCAGCTCGTTGTAATCCAGCGATCCGGTGAATGACTCGCTATAGGAGCCGCCTGAACTCGTCGATCTGCCCTGTGTTCTGTCTGCTCCCGCAGATCCGCCGTAGGAGCCGCCTGCACCCAGCAACCCATCGTCCAATCCGCCGGCCCCCAGGGATCCGCCGTACGATCCTCCTGCCCCCAGGGATCCACTGTACGAGCCGCCGGCGCCCATGGATCCTCCATATGACCCAGTCACAATGCTGCTATCTCCTTTTGGCCCCGGAGGTCCCATAGGCCCTGGGGGCCCAGGAGGCCCTATGATGAACCTTCGAACATCATCACCTGCAAAACACAACAGGCGCTGATAGGGTTGTAGCCCACAGACACACAAATGCCACACTCCCCCTGCTAGACAAAGAGAGACTGTGGGCATTGGCTCTAGTGGCTGGCAGCCTCGATATGCCGGGCAGTGGCTGAGGATCTGCAACATGATTTGACTGCAGAATGCAGCAGGCAACATGTTTCACTTTCCATCTGCCAACTGCCCCACGAGACTGGGAAGCGTCCTTAGCCCCAGAGGGGGAAACTGAGGCACGGAGCCGCAAGAGGGAGTCTCTCCAGAATGCAAGCCACTTTTTCAAAGGTTGCCCTCAGCAGCTTGTCAGCACAGGATGGAGGCCAGGCTGGGTTCAGGGTGTACCTCCTGCGGGCTCAGTCTACTAGACCATACCCCTTTCCTGTTGTCCATGGGGAAAATGCCTTCCCCATAAAACAGGTGACCGTAGAAAACACCCAATAAATCCACCTTTAAATATAACCAAAATAAGCACCCATCACCTCTCCAGTGGTGTACATCTTCAGATTGCCGCATGCTCTATTCCTGTCTGCCCCGCCCGCCCGTCCCGGGTCCCGTGCAGAACAGGGAAGGTGCAACAGAAGAGATTCAGAGGGCTAGTGCAGGGACTAGGTACCCCCAAAGTCCTGCTGCGGCCTTTGAAGGACTTCAATAGTACTTAGTCCTGGCAGTCCTTTTCACACACAGTGAATTCTCTTAGATCCCAGATCAGAGTCACCAACGAGAGCATGGACAAGCACCAACAGTGCAAAGAGTGGGCGGGTGGTGAGACTCTGCCCTCAGACACCAAGTCTCCTTACTGGCTAGATACTGGATCAGCTCGCTCCTGAATGTGTCGCTCAGCACGTTGTCGGTGTAGGAGAAGTGGCCGGTTCCTGACAGCCCTGGTGGCCCGGGGGGCCCTGGAGGTCCTGGGGGGCCCGGAGGTCCAGAGACGGACGCGTAGCCCACTCCTGGGGAGAGCAGGAAGGGGAGAAATAGCATTTTGGCCAAAGGACGGGGACCCGGCAAGGACCCTCGCTTCGGAATCTTGATGGTGTCAAGGTTTTTGGAATCTTGATGGTTTCAGGATTCCGACCCCACCTTCCACCTCTCTCCCTGCCCTAGAACAGAGGTTGGGGAGATTTGCAAGCTGCCCGGGGATTCGGTCCCACTTAATGGGACGTGCTCATCCAACTCTCCCTGCGTGTCGTTTCCTCTGCCGGCCCAGACCCCTCCCAGCAGCTGTGGAGAGGAGGACGCTCCTTACTTTGCAGGTAAGAGGTGACGTCCTCCAGGGTAAACGTGGAGAGCGAGCTGCCTGGCATTCCAGGGAGACCTGGGCTTCCAGGGGGTCCTGGTGGCCCTGGGGGTCCAACAATGCCACTAAAATCAGAACCTGCAAGTACAAGGGAAGAGAAAGTCATTGTCAGGCTCCCCCCCACTACACCCAAAGCGTCGGTCCCCTGCAAACGACAGCGGGTGAAAAGGCTTCATTCCTGCGCTTGTCTTTGCAGCAGGAGCACGTGGGGAGTCCCAGAGAAAGTTCTGTGAGCGATGACAGCTGGTGAAAAGGCTTCATTCCCGTGCTTGTCTTTGCAGCAAGAGCACATGAGGAGTCCCAGAGAAAGTTCTGTGAGCGATGGGGCAACCTCTGCCTATTTCCATGCCTCACATGGAACGGAGACGTCCCAAGCTCCCAGATGGGTTTGGCCCCAGTCAGCCTCCTGACCGCCCTTCAGATGGCGCAAGTGCCCGGAGGCGATACGCAAAGGTTTGTGCACAAACCACACGCTGTCTGTTAGGGACGCCGTGAGTCTGAGGGAACGGTGACATTGGTACAGTGTAACCACATGTCTGCAAGCAGGGCAGAACGCCCCATCGGAGGGTAAACCATGACAGCAGGTGGTAATGGCAGTGCTGGGCTTAAACCAGACTCTCCTGTAGATGATGGCGTAGTTATACTCTCCTCTCCCAGGAAAGGATACCTTCCCCTAAGCTGTTGATCAGCCTGTAAAAGAACATTGCTACCTACCTGACACATGGCCAGTAGGACCTGACAGCCAGAGCGCTTACCTTGGAGTAAAGCTGTTAGGTCACTATAAGATGTTCCAGGCAACCCTGGGGATCCTGGGGGGCCGGGGAGCCCAATACTGAGTCCATTATCTAGGAAATTAAAAACATTTTGCTGTGAGGATTACAGGGACGTAGGCTCGACAGTACACGTGTCACTGAAACGTGATCCCTCTCAGTGTGGGACAAAGAGCCAATAATAATCCCAGTGGGTTGAAATTCATCTCTGTGCAGAAGGTCAACCCAAGGGTAAGGGGTATGTACCACTTAGGATCTGTTCAAAACAGGGCTCGGCTGACACCGCAGTCTGCTCCTGCCCCTCCTCGCTAGATGGGAATTTCACCCTTTGTGAATCTAACCTCTTTCTCTGCTCCTGGAACAGCCTCATATTTACTGGACAAATCTCTCTCTGAATCCCTTACTCTAGGGACTGCTCATGCAGGTTCAACCAGTGAGGGTTAGCTGTGATTGAGCTGATGAATCACATGGTATTACTCCTATTCCCTGATTGGATAAGCATATGCAACCACCACCAGGTGGATTTGAACCTAGGACCTCTGGAGCTTAGTGTAGAAGCCTCCGCAGCCTGAGCTATAAAGCCAGCTGGCTCTCAGAGTAGGCTGTAGAGCTGCCCTGCTCTGATCTTTGGCTGTAAGTGCTCTAAGTGCCACTACATGGGACAGTGAGCCGCACCAGGTGTGTGGGTTACACATGCAATGCTTTCAGTGCAAATGTGTGGGTTTAAAATTTGATTTTTGACCAATACGGGCAGATCGCGGCTTTGAAATCTGCGTTGCCAAAATGGTTCTGCCAGCAAAACTCGGCCACCCAGGTTGATCTGCTCCCGGAGGGACAGGTGGGGCTACAAACACCACAAACATGGGCCAGCTCGAATGGCCAAAAGTGGTCTTCCCCTCTGGAGCTGGCTGGGTAATAGGCGCCAATCATTCAGGGCCTGATTGTAAGCGGAACAGAGCAGAGAATTGAACCAAACCCTGAACAGACGGGCCGGGCCCATGGGCAAAGTTTGTGTGGGGGCAGCCCCGTGCTCCCGGAAGGGGTGGAGCCTTGGGCAGAGGGGACGGGGCTGCAGCACGGAGTGAACTGTGCCAGGCTCACCCCTTCGACAGGCAGCTGGGAGAGCCGCCCAGCGCCCTCTGCACAGCACTCCAGCGCAGATCTGAAGACCCAGGGGCGCTGGTCACTCCGCAGTGGCAGCAGTGGTGGCCCTGACATCTTCTGAATCATCAGGCACCAGGGCAACTGCCCCTTTTCCTTTTTGCCCCTGCTCCCCAGTCACCAGGCCACCAGCTATCCTGAGCCCTTTTCTAAGTGTTCCCAAGGAGTCCTCTGTGCTAGCCATTGGCAACGCCCCCTACACTTTGGGCCTGCCACAAAGGCCACCGGAGTCCACTTCCGTGGCTTTCCGAACAGGCCCTTGGAGAGAGCAGAGAGACAGACACAAGCACAAGGATCATTACTTGTCATGTAGCTTATAACCCGTCTGGTCATTTCGTCATAGTTCAGAGACATGCCGTCTCCTCCGGGTCCAGGCGGGCCTGGGGGACCCCGAGGTCCAACCAGATACTGACGAATGTCTTCTCCTGGAAAGAAAATCGTGGCTTTCCGAACAGGCCCTTGGAGAGAGCAGAGAGACAGACACAAGCACAAGGATCATTACTTGTCATGTAGCTTATAACCCGTCTGGTCATTTCGTCATAGTTCAGAGACATGCCGTCTCCTCCGGGTCCAGGCGGGCCTGGGGGACCCCGAGGTCCAACCAGATACTGACGAATGTCTTCTCCTGGAAAGAAAATGGGAAATGCATCTCTGGTGCGGCTGCTGGGCCACAGAGGGTGGGAAGGAACCAGCTGCCACCCTCCCCCGCCTGACGTGCAGGTAAAGAGCCTCTCAGACTGTCAGTGGGATGCTCCCACACATGCCTGGGTGTTGCATTGGAAGCGGTGTGGCTCATAGAGTTCAGGACGCCACGGGGTTTGGGCTCCCCGAGAGACAGGCATCCCTGCGCTGGTCTCTTTGAGTTGCCCCAAGATCTGCTCTGCTTGGCTTGTGTCTAGACTGGCCAGTTTTTCCGGAAAATCAGCCGCTTTTCCAGAAAAACTTGCCAGCTGTCTACACTGGCCACTTGAATTTCCGCAAGAACACTGACGATCTCATAAGAAATCAGTCACGGGGTTTGGGCTCCCCGAGAGACAGGCATCCCTGCGCTGGTCTCTTTGAGTTGCCCCAAGATCTGCTCTGCTTGGCTTGTGTCTAGACTGGCCAGTTTTTCCGGAAAATCAGCCGCTTTTCCAGAAAAACTTGCCAGCTGTCTACACTGGCCACTTGAATTTCCGCAAGAACACTGACGATCTCATAAGAAATCAGTGCTTCTTGCGGAAATACTATGCTGCTCCCATTCAGGCAAAAGTCCCTTTTGCACAAAGCTTTTGCGTAGACAGCTCAGATCTGTTTTCCGCAAAAAAAGCCCCGATAGCGAAAATGGCGATCGGGGCTTTTTCTGCGCAAAAGCGCGTCTAGATTGGCACGGACGCTTTTCTGCAAAAAGTGCTTTTGCGGAAAAGCGTCCGGGCCAATCTAGACGCTCTGTTCCAAAATGCTTTTAACGGAAAACTTTTCCATTAAAAGCATTTCTGGAAAATCATGCCAGTCTAGAAGCAGCCCTTGAGTTTAGCAGGCTGAGCTACTTCTCCAGCGCCAAGGGCCGTCTGATACCCCAGCCTGAGTGCCAGGCCTGATTGGATTCCGTTTGGTGTCGGTGTCTAGAGGGGAAGGGTTAATTTAGAGCAGGGCGGGGCAAGAGTAGACCTGGGGGCCTGGAGGTGGCTAATGCTTAATGCTTTGCTCCCGCCTGCGGACCTGCATCTATATGCTATTTCTAGCTTGCTGCCCATGGCACTGAATTTCCAGGCAGTGGCTCAGGGAGCGGGATCCTATCTGAACTGCTCGTGGCTCATGGCTGCAGCCCTACCCTACCAGAGCCCGGAGCCGCGAGCTTTTTAAATAGCTGTGTAACCCCGGGCGGCTGCAGGCAACATGGTAGCAGCAGGGCCAGGAGTCCTTTGCTGTGTCAAAGCCTCCGGCCCCGGACAACTCTGGGGGGAGGCTAGTCCCTAGCTCCACCCCTTCTACCTAAAGCCCCGCCTTTTTCAGGGGTGGAGCCAGCCCGTCCCCACTTATTGAAATTCAGTAAGTGGCCTCCCTGCAATGATTGCCCACCCTTTGCTGAGACGCATCAACGAGACGCCAGGTGATTTGCCCCCAGGGCTCCAGTTGCTTAGCTAGTAGAGCGCTCTGCAGTCCCAAGCTGTCACCGCTATTTAACTCCCCGCTACGGGATTCCCCTCTGACCTGAAGCATGATGCGATTACAGCGCTAATAAGAGAGCTCCTGGCTCTGCATTCACAAATAGCACCCAAGACGATCCGAAGGTCAATAATCCCAAAGCAAGGGATAAACACCCTCCGGTCTGCGGCTTAGGGCAACCTTTAACTCACGGAGGCGAGGAAGAAAATGGCCCAAGGAGCCGGTTTCACCATGGCAGCTGGCTGCCGGGTTCCTTCCTCTGAAGCAGCTGGTGCTGGTGACAGGGACAGGCTACTGATCTGAGCCAGGCTGGCAAGCCCAGTGTCCCCAAGTGTGACCCAGAGGGTACCGAGCAGCAAGGGCAGCTGCAGCCCTCGCGGCATGGGGAACTTACGCTGCAGCATGGCGAGGAGGCCTTCGTACGACAAGGCTCCGGTGGACGAGGACGATGACGATGACGAGCCGGACATCTCAAAACTGTAACCAGAGCCTGTGGGAATGGAAAGTTTGACTGTCACGGGGGACGAATCCAGGAACTGAGTGTGTGGGGAAGACTTTCCATTCGCGCACAGGGCGCCTAGTCCCAGAAGGACAAGGCAGTGGCAGACGGTCTGACCCCAGGAAGCGGAGGCGAGATCGTCACCTCCACGCTGCCCACAGGGACGATCGCAGCTTCTATCCCCCCTGAGTCTGCGTGCAGGAGGCTGAGGGTCTAGCATCCAAACTAAGGAGTAAGTCAGAAGGGGCTAAGCCTAATTGAAAATGAGACGAGACACAGGGCTCTGTTCACGGGGAGCAGCACTGGGGCTGATTCCCTAGCCGGGTGTAAAATAGCTGCCAAGACCCCTCCCCCCCAGCCCAGGGCTCAGCAGAGGGCCCCATTGCGACGCTGAATTCCAAGGAAGGATGCGACCGTGAACAGGACGCGGTGCTTACTCCTCATGAAGCTCATGACCCGCCTGGCCAGCTCAGCGTAGTCCAAGGATTGTCCGTCCATGGTGGTGATGAGTCCTGGCAGCCCGGGGGGGCCCGGGGGCCCTTGAGGTCCAATCAGATAACGCCCCAGGGTGTCACCTAATGAGGAAAAAAGGTGAAGGCCAAATCAGCGGAGCGAGAACAGCGTGACGCCCTGAGAGATGGTACCACCGGGGCTGAAGGGAGCCGGGCCGGGTGGCTCCCCCCGGCTGGGTGTGACGTACCGCCTGAGGACGATCACACACCACTCTCACTCACGGGACTCCCCTCTCCTCAGCCCGTGGAAGTGTAACACTCCTGCCAGCTGGGGGGCGGTTAGGCAGGGACCATGCAGCAAGGGGGTGCCTGTTGGCAGGGCTAGTGTTGGGCTGCAGCCCATGCCGGCTGGGCTCACACGCTCAGGAGAATGATTAAGTTCTCAGCAGCAGAGGGAGGCTGGAAGCCTTCCAGGGAGGACGGGAGAGGGCGGGGAGGCTGTTTAGCTTCCCCCTCCCCTGCTGGAGATGGCAGCCTCTGCAATGGCCCACGGACCTGGGGGGGTGGAACTGCTAGGAGCAGATGAAGGACCAGCCCTGGTCAAAGCCCAGCGTCCCTGGTTGTACTCACTCTGCAAATACTCCGCAATGTACTGCTGAATCTCCTGCAGGGAGCCTCCAGCGGGGCCGGGGGGGCCGGGAGGACCTGGGGGCCCCATGATGTATCCTGAGTTTGAAGCTCCGTCTGAAGACATAAAAAAGGCCGATGGCTTTTAGCATCCAGGGGACAGAGCGAGGACTGGTGAGGTAGGAGAAGGCCCTGCTCCTTCCCCTGGGGTGGAAGAAGAGTTGGGGTTGGGAGGGACCCCTAGGAAATCAGCTAGTCGGGCTGACTGAGGCACATAACGCTGGAGCTCCAGGCTCGGCACTGGCTCTGTAATACCCAGGGCTGCCTGAGCTCTGGCCCCCGTCACCAAAGCGTCGGAGCACCTCATAGCCCTTAATGCTGGAACAGCCCTGTGCAGCAGGGCAGGGCTCCGAGCCCCATTGTGCACAGGGGAAACTGAGGCACAGAGCACCACTCGTCCCCGGTCACACGGTGGAGCCGTAATCGGACCCCAGCTCTCTCAAATGCTCAGCTTGTGCTCTCCCCCTGGGGCCACGCCTTCCCAAAAGGCCCTGCTCTGAGCCGCCGCTTCCCGCATCCTAGTGTAATATCCCGTCTGCTCGTAGGAAAAGCCTGGGCAGAGCAGTTCCCGGGGGGCGCTCCAGAATTTGCTCGCTCGTGTCATCTGCCTGTGCCCCCCTCTGGGAACCGGGAAGCAGATTTCTTGTGGAGGACAGGAAGGGAGGGGGGTAATGGTCTTGTGGTTCCACCTTGGCAATGGATCCTGGGCGAAATCCATCGCTGGCGGGCCTCCCCACCATCCGTGATGGAACTGCAAAGCCCAGGTGTGATTCTGACAGTGTCCCTTGTGGGAGAGATGTTCCGGCGTGCCCAAAGGGCTTAGGCGCACACGCGCCATTGACTTTCAATGGGCCCAACGCTCCTAACGCCTTTTGAACGTCTCTCCCGGGAATGTCAGTGTCTCCTGCCTCGCAGGGCCAGATAGACTCTGATCTCCAGACGGGCTGCCCTTACCTGTGGAAAACCCTCCTGGAATGCCGGGAGCCCCTGGCACACCTGCATCACCTGGAAAGGAGGGAGAGACACACAGGTAGCCTGGATGGGACAGCCAGAGATTCATTCACCCCTTGGGTGGTTTATGCTGGCTGGGGCACACGTCCCCTTCCAGCCCCTGCGCTGATCCAGTCTGCGCTGGGGTGATCCCAGACCCAGGGGCTGGGGTGAAGGGACCCACGCAAGCCCCGCAGAGACGTGAATACGAGCAGCAGCAATGGCAGCTCTTGCCTCCTTGACGCACTCAAAGCGGGTGTCAGGGCCGTGCTTTCAGCCTGCCCCAGCCCCGGAGGAGCAGGCTGCTGGCCCGCTGGCCTGGAGGTGAGCCTTGGGCGTGATTGGGCTGCAGGTACAGGCCACGAGGAAGCCGAAGGGGTTTTCTTTTCACAAACCTTTGGGGCCGGGAGGTCCTTGAGGTCCTGCGGGTCCCGGAGGTCCCTGGATGGCAACGCCACCACCTGCCCAAGCAGAATGCCAAGGAAGAGGGGTCAGAGGCAGGAAACCCTGGGGCAGATCCTGGCCCCACTGAAGTCCTGCCGTCGATTCCAGCAGGGCCAGGATTTCACTGCCTGGCTTCAGCTGAATGCTCAAGCACAGTTCCCGCGGAAAAGGAGGGCGTGTGCCGACTGACCTTGGATAGAGTAACCTGGGAGGCCGGGCTGACCTGGTTCGCCTGTAGGAAACACACAGAGATCCGGTTACACCCCCCCCACTGTTGCTGTATCCCTCCGCCTAACAGCGCTATTCTGCACCCCTCTTTACCTGTGAATCCTCGTGGGCCCGGTGAGCCTGTGGACAGGAAAAGAAAGGCCTCGTTAGACTGTTTGCCCCCGCCTGGCTTGGATTTGCTAGCTCACCCCAGCCCTGATCACAGGGCATTTTAACCCAGTCAAGGGAGCAAAACCCCTCCCCTCACCTCCCCTCACCAAGAGCCAGCTTCCCAAACCTTCCCAAATAGGGGGGAGGGATAGCTCAGTGGCTTGAGCAGTGGCCTGCTAAACCCAAGGTTGTGAGTTCAATCCTTGCAAAGGCCATTTAGGGATTTGGGACAAATATTTGTCAGGGATGGTACTTGGTCCTGCTGGGAAGGCAGGGCACAGGACTCAATGACCTTTCAAGATCCCTTCCAGCTCTAGGAGAAAGGCAATCTCCATTAATTTAATTTCCCACTGAGCAGGGCGTTATGTTTAACATGGCCTCCTCCAAGCATGCTGTGATGCACAGCTGAGTCTCCGGACCCTGCGGCAGGAGAGGCACGAGCGCCGCTGGTGGAGATGTTGGTGAGAGGGACTCGCTCGGTGACTGAGGCAGGACAGAGCTGGACCTGGACTAGCACCATGGATGCTCCCAGTCACAGCCCCCCGCCGCACTGGAGGCCACGGCGTGCAAATGGGCTGCAGCCCTTTGATGGCAGAACCGAAGCTCCAGTTCCGAACACGAGGGATGGGAGCGTGTAGCTGTTGAAACGATGAACCGATAAGCCAAAGCGCATTGGTTAATGCTATTGACTGCATGCATCCTGTCCTGTCCCCCTCCCCCCACCGCCGCCACTAAATATTTGAGAGAGCTGGCCCGCAGCCCGGCTCAGTCGGGGTCCCTGGAGCTATTCCCCGCACGGCTCTGCAGGGAACGTGATTTCGGAGCAGGGCAGATCAAAAAGGCAGCGCCTGTCCCAGAGAGCGTCTGTGTTGCTTATTGGGTTTGGTGCGGAGGCACTTTCCTGGTGCCTGGGGAAGGTTCGTGCCCAGCAGGATCTGAGACGCTGGGCTCACCTTGGTCTCCTTTTGGCCCCGGTGGGCCTGGCGGTCCGGCGAAGAACGTTTCTGTAACAAAGATCACAGGGCGGTTTAAGGGACAAGTGCGGACACAGCCATGGCCGGGGGGGCCCATGACGTTCTCCTGAAGTCAGGGATCGCCAGGGATTCGTCCGATCCACAGCGGGACAGGGAGGTTTCAGCGGGATCCAGCCCGAGGACCGGAGTTAGGAAGCGAGTGAAAGCACCTACCTGAGGTGGGCACAAAGGAGCCTGGTGGACCGGGTGGACCTGGTAACCCTTCTCCTAAGCCAGGGAGACAGAACAATGCTCAGCGGGGAGGGCAAAGGCCAATGAATGCAGCAGTCCGCCCAGCAGTCGCTGGATTGCCAAACCTGGGCCGAGTTCCTTCTCTTTTCCTGCCCCGCTACCCCCCAGTGATGGGTCACTCCCGGCTGTAACACTGTAGGGTCACAGCGCCAGCCATGTGGGGTGACACGCCATTGCCAATGTGGGGGCAGGGAAAACCCAGAGTGCCTCCGTGCGTTCGGCTGGGCTGGCCACGCCTCGCCCAGTGACGCTTTGTTTCTAGCGGAGTCGTCCGTCCACAACAAACGGGGCCCACGTCACTCAGCTCGTGGGGCTGCAGCCATCGCTATCTCCCAGCTAGTTTTTAAGAGCGGCATTCCAACCTCCTCCTCCGCCGCCGCTAAGGGCAAAGGAAATTACCACCAGCCCACTGAAAGGGGAACAAGGCGGCATCCTAAGCGACCAGTCTTGCTCCTGGCAGGGCGTTCAAACGAGCCTCGGGTAGACCGCTGGGCAGCTGAGCAGGACTGGACTGCAGCGGGGCTGACAGCCCCTGCGGGCCCCCGGCCAGGCGTGAGGGGGGGGGCCCTAGCTCTGTGCTGCAGGAAGGGGAGGGGCCTCAGGAGGAAGGGGCGGGGCCAGGCGCAGCCAGCCCACAGCGCTTTCCGAACGGTGGCGCATCCTCCCCTCCAAGCCCTCACCCTTCACCTGTACTGAGTGCCCGGCAGGGTTCTGGGACTCTGGCCACTACGTCGGCTGCAGTTACCGGGGGGGGGGCTGGGAGCCCCAGGCCCCTTTGAATCACTGGTCCCTGGGGCAACTACCCCTTCCCCCCCCCCACCTATCGGCGGGCCTGCTGGACTGAAGTCACTGCAGCTGCACAAACGAGTTGGTGCCCTTTCGCTTCAGGGTGCAGACATGACTTTTCTAGCCAAAGAGTCCCCTGCCATCCTCCCCCAGCCATCAGTGCCACCTGCACATCCAGAACTAGAGGGGGACTTTGCTGACAGTCCCTCTCCTGTTGGAGCATATCTCCCCTTGAAGGCTACGTCTACACTGCAGGCTTCCTGCACAAGAACAGTTTTGCATAAGCAGGGCTCGCTGAGCCACAGTGAGCCCCGCTCGCCAACCGCGCTGTCCGGCGTTCTGCACATGTGCAGGTTGCCCGAACCCGGCTCTTCCGGGTAGATTACATAGACTGTCGAGCCCTGTGCATAAGAGTTCTCGTGCAAAAGGTCTTCCACAAGAGAGCGTCCACGCTGCCATGTGCTTTTGCACAAGAGATGTGCTTTTGCACAAGAGCATCCATGGCCGTGTGGGCGCCCTCGTGCGCAAGAAAGCTCTGATGGCTGTTTCAGCCATCGGGCTTTCTTGCATAAGAAACCCTTGCTGCCTGTCTACACGGCCTTCTTGTGGAAGAGCTCTTGCACAAGAGGGCTGATTCCTCGTGGGGAGAGGAGTAACTCTTGCACAAGAAGCCCTGCTTTCCGACGCTTTCTGTCAATTTACTTGTGCAAGAACGCGCGTGCAGTGTAGATGCTCTGCAAGTTTTTGCGCAAGAAGTCTGCAGTGTAGACATAGCCCTAGTGAAGTGCATCCGTGTGACCACGCGGGATGAAAATCCCGACCTTGTGGAAATCAATTGCAAAGCTCCCAGTCACGTCGAAGAGGCCACGATTTCCCCCACGGTGTTTCAGAATTACCCGTCTGGGGCACATGACAAATCGACTGTACCCCCCCCCATTCTTATATTTAGGGGAACAAGGTTTTACCTGGTGGGCCGCGAGGTCCAGGTGGTCCCTGGATGGAAGCGCCTGACAAAGAGAAACGGATCAGAAGCTTTCAATAATATTTTCACAGCAGAATGAACCCAGCTGAAAATATGCTGCAGGCTTCATTCCACCCTTGTGGCCCCTGTGATCTCTCATACGTACTGTGCTGTAGTCAATTCTCTATTTTAATATATACCTGGGGGGCCTGGAGGTCCTGGGGGGCCTGGTCGTCCGGCTAAATCTTGAGATACTGCAAAAGCAAGAGGGGAAAAATTGTTGCTATAGAAATATTGTTACTATAGAAACATTTTTTCTACATTGCTAATGGAAGCTATTGAAGTCTGGGGTCGATTAAGGAACGATTCTTGATACAAAACCTCATGGGTAAAAGGGAAGCTGGACCCACCCAGGGAGGCCAAAGGAACTGGGCTGTGATGACCAAGCTTGTCAGGAAGAGAATTTTTTAAGGGGGCTTGATTTTTTGGTGAGAGGAATGGGAAGCCCATTTTTAATGAAGCCGGATAGTCGAGAGCCCACAACTGGCAGCATGTATTTCCATTGGTGGTGCACATCCATATATGCCTTGGTGCACATAACATTTATTCTGCACATGATGGAAAAAATTAGCGGGAACATTGGGCGTGGGGCAGTCACAAAGTTCTGTTCCAGATTTGGATTATGCGAAATATAGTGTTTGCACACGGGGAGTAGATTGGGATCACTTTTAGTCTGAATCCATTCCCGATCCAGAGCCCAGACGTAGTTACCGAAGCATTTCAGAGCACAGCAGAACAAGCCAAGGTATAATAAACAATCATAGTGGCAATTGGTTGCAACGTGCACACTGTATTATATAAAACATTTCTCCCCCTCGGGGGATCCTGCCATTAATTCCATTCTGTGCCTGTCATTTTTGCCTGGAAATTAGTATTTCTTTCTCTGCTGGTTTTGTCCTTGAACATTTGGGAGACTTTGGCTTTCATTCCTCCCCCCACCTCTATTTAATGTGGTATTTTAGGCTGGTTACTTCTTTGCAGTAGTAATAGCTGTACTCAGTTTGCGTCCCCACAACTCCTGTTGCCAAAGGGAGGGCGGGGACGGGGCTGACAACGGCTGCCCCCTCACCGGTAATTCGCAAAGTCATGTCCTCAGGGACAGGGTGCCACGGGGGAGGGGGAGTGAGAGAAGAGGGCAGGGCAATGGCAGGAAGGGGCGGGGCTTGGGGAATGGTAACAGACAGCCCCCCTGAACCCACAGGAAGTCCTGGGCTGGGTTACGCAATTGCTTCAGCCAGGGATGGCCCGTGGGCCGGGAGCTTGAGACCCCTGTGCTATACACAGGCGTGTCATCGTACGGGTCCCACGCCCCTCAGCTCAACACGCACGCCCAGCTACACCTGCGAGGCCAGCGGCATCTCCGTGTGAAGGCCCCGCTCCCCAAGCGGTTAGAACGGCTGGCCTCCCCCACTGCCCAGAAAACCCAGACGCGTCCGTTCTTACTTTGCGATAATGAAGTTGCAATTTCTGATCTGACGGTTTCCACGACGGTTTCACCTGGGAGCCCCCTCTCGCCACGTGGACCTTCATCAGGACGGGAGAGAAGGCGGGTTATTTAGCCAATTGAGGAGGAGCGCTGCCTTTGGGGGAATCTGCAAGGCTGCGGACTAAGACACTGATCACTGACATGGCGCCAGATTTTGCTTTCTGTTAGTACAGTACATGGGGTGACCAAAACTCAACCCGCATCACATCTGAAAGTCCCTGCCATTATTCTCAAACTCAGCTCAGGGTCCATCTCTCACTCCCACCTTTTGAGATGGCAGGACCTCTAGATCAAGACCATGAACCGTCTCTTCAAACATATTTAGGCACTTCATCCCCACAGAACGCTGTTCCAAGGGGAGTTAGGCACCTAACGATCTTTGAGGATCTGGGCCCATGTTCCCAATCACAGAAAGGCAGCTTTGACTGAAATGGGCTCTACTAGAACTAATGTCTGGATAAGGTAATAATCGAACTATCTAGGTCTGCAGATTTCACCTGGAAGATATGTGGGAATTCCTCACCCACTCTTCTGTGGAGGGGTGGGAGACATGAAAATTGGGAATTTTTTAAAAGATGAATTAAAACTATGAAGGCAGCCGAATGAGTCAAAATGGAAAGAGCTGCAAGCAAAAGAAAAAGATTGGGCAAGCAGCAGAGAAACAAGGAGTTGAACTGAGAGATTTTACAAGAAGGTTGTGTCTAGACTGGCCAGTTTTTCTGGAAAATCAGCCGCTTTTCCGGAAAATCTTGCCAGCTGTCTACACTGGCCGCTTGAATTTCCGCAAAAGCACTGACTTCCTACTGTAAGAAATCAGTGCTTCTTGCAGAAATACTATTCTGCTCCCGTTCAGGTAAAAGTCCCTTTTGCGCAAAGCTTTTGCGCAAAGGGGCCAGTGTAGACAGCTCAGATTTGTTTTCCGCAAAAAAGCCCCGATTGCAAAAATGGCCATCGGGGCTTTTTTGCGGAAAAGCGCGTCTAGATTGGCACGGACGCTTTTCCACAAAAAGTGCTTTTATGGAAAAGCATCCGTGCCAATCTAGACGCTCTTTTCTGAAAATGCTTTTAACGGAAAACTTTTCCATTAAAAGCATTTCCGGAAAATCATGCCAGTCTAGACGTAGCTGAAAAGTAATGAATGCAGTTCATTTGGAGGCAGGTAGTGTGCAAGGCAGGCTATGTACGGTACCTTGCTGTCCAGGGAGACCAGCGGGTCCAATAGGACCTGAATTCAAAGGACAAACAAAAAACGCGTGTGTTAGATTTCCATGGCAGTATTTAACCGTAACAGGGGACAATCAATAGGCTTTTGAAAAGTGCTGAGAACATCAACTAATACATTTGTCTACGCAAGTAAATTAAATCCGGGCAGGGGGGTGAATTAGTCAAAGTGTCAGCAGACACTGGAGGTTCAGGGGAGGTGGCTCTCAGTTAATCAAATAAAGCACATGATCCAGCTAGAAATAACCAGGCATGTATCGGGTACAATAGAACGATAACGGGCCTGATCTAGGTTCCCCTTTCTCAGTGAAGTTTAGGAATAACACCACAGAAGCCAGCGGAGCTACTGGAAGAGGCAGATCAGTGCAGGAAGAATTAGCTCATCTGAGCTTTGCACTGTGATCCCATTGTACCAGAGGGTGGTGACTAGGGTTGCCAGATGGTTGGACCAAAATACTGAACACCCCAAAAAAAACACTGGGAAAAAATTCTGTTGACGGGGAAAAAAAGTGAGGGAGACCAAAAAAAAAAATTAAAATAAAACAGCATGTCCCCTTTAAGAGTGAGTGCAGGGATAGTTGAGCACTGCTTCCCCTAGGTCTTTTGGCCGGCAGCCATTTTGTGCCAGCAGCCTTGGGGAGTTCGGGAGTGGGGGAGGCTGGGCGCTGAGTGTTTGTAGGGTTGCTGGGTGCCCAGCATTTTTGCCTCCTGGCTGTGGGAAAAAATCAGAAAATACCGGACATCTCAGGTGTCCAGTATTCTCTGAATTTTTTTTACCGGACAGGAGGCAAAAATACCAGACTGCCAGGTGAATACCGGACACCTGGCAACCCTAGCCAGTGTCTGCAGTAGGAATGTTCAGAAGAGGTTTCGGCTGGGGGCCGAAAGTGTGGGGCTGTTCATTTTTGGGTCTGGCACTGGTAGCACTAAAATCTTGTCATGTGTTCTGGGGAGATTTCTGCTGTGTGGCAACCATCCCATCCGACTCAGGACTGGAAAACAAGCCCCCTCGACACCTGGATCTGAAAACAAAGCAATGGGATGGGGCTTCCAGGGGATTCTCCCCCCTTCTCTGGAACGCAAAGGGGTGTGGATTTGGGATTCCAGCTTTGCCCCACTGCTAGACAACGTGCATTAGATCAACATCCTCACTTCCTACGGCTCTTCCAAAGCCACCCTCCTACCAGCCCCTTTTGGGTCTGTCTCCCACTCCCATCTTTACACCTCCCTGCTGGAACGCCCTTCCCTGTGCTCCAAACGACCCGTCTTTTGGCTTTTAAATTCCCACCTTGAAATTCCCATGTCCCTCGTGCGGCCTAAGTGAGGCCCAGTCCCTGGCCTCACTCCTGCGGAGAGCACTAAGGGCAGGTGAGATGGGGAAGATAATGAACAGAGTCCCTGCTCTATGTGGCCTGTAGGACAGGGCGGCTTGACAGAGATAGGAAGCCGTGAAATATAGAATATCCCTGACTGCTGCTCCGGAAAGGGAGAGTGGAGGCCTTGGCCATGTTCCCAAGCCGGCCGGCCGGCCATACTCCTGTAGGCCCATGAAGCACCCCCAGCATTGTTCACCCGCACTCCTCTGCTCAAAGAAGTAGCATTTTCCAATTCTGCTTTTTGCCCCCAATCCCACCAGTGAGAGGAGCCAGCCTTTTGCCCTAAGATGGTTAAGTTCCTGGCAGGGCAGGGACCCTGTCTTTCTCGTGTATTGAACAACCCCTTGCCGAGCGCTCAGTAAATACACAGTGAACAGTGGTGCAGGCGGCACCTGTTACAAAGAAACAGGGTTTTCGTACCTGGGGCACCAGCTGGTCCTGGAGGCCCCAGTGCTCCTGGTGGGCCTGGAGGGCCGGGGAGAGCAATAGTGGAGGAATCCCCTGGAACACAAAAATGAGGCAGTTGGCAAAGAGAGAAGCGGAGTAAATCTGCCTCAGGTCCCATTTGTAACAAATGCTCTGACCATTCTTACACGCTGCCACAACCAGCTTCAATGCTGCAAACACCAAGGGCATGTCTACACTAGGAGACTATTTCAAAATGAGTAAATTCAAGTTAATAACTCCCGATTTAACAAATTCGAACTAGCATGTCTACATTATGTGGAAGCCTCAAAATTAGTCTGAGGCAGGCTCCGTTAATGCGGACGTGCTACCTTAGACTTAGAGCCCCAGGAAGCTCTGGGGAGTAATTAGTGCAAATTACTCTGGGGAGTAGTTATGTCAAAATAGAGGCACTGGAGCGTCCATACTACTGCTACTTTGAAATCACTCTTCTGGAGTTAGCGTTACTCCTGATGAAAAGCAGGCGTACAGCTTTCAAATTCCGCAGCCTGTTATTTTGAAATAACAGGCTTGGTAGTGTGAGCGCTCCGCTTATACATTCAACCTTGGGGGGGTTATTTCGAAATAAAGTCCTCGTGTAGACCAGGGCCAAAAGACCATGGTCCATTGTAACCACAGATATAGAAGGAATAAGAGAAATTGTAGAAAACCATCAATAACTGGGGCTGCTGAAAATCCCACGGTCATACGTACCAGTGGTTATAACTCTGCCAGGAGCCCCAGGTTCACCTACAAGAGTGGGACAAAAGAAGGGGGATAATTAATAGACACAATATTTTAAAGGAACTTCTGATGGCATTTTGGCTTTTGTTCGCATCTCAGTTTTTGTTAGGGAAATTATCAGACTAGGAGGTAATGGGGGAAGAAAGAGACAGAGATGAGAGAACTCAGCTAACTAACGCAGAAAGATTCTTTAATCAAATGTCCAAATGTTCCGTGTGTCATAACGCATAATGGGCCCAGTGCTGATTGTACATACAATGGTGCAACTTGCACTGAAGTCACTGGGGCTTGAGATCTGGTATCGGGGGACAAAGTGGGGTCCAAAATGGGCTTTTCAGCATGGAAGCTAGGCTCAGAATTCTTTGGCGACCCTCCCCCTGATTTTCCATGTGCTCCACCAGGAGACTTTTGTTAACTCCATTTCTCCTCTTTCTTTTTTGAAGCCACTAGATGCCACTGTTGATCCAGAACAGCAATAGAGACGCAGCCCTGTTAGTCTGGTCTTGCTGAAACAAAAGACAGGACTATGCAGCACTTTAAAGACTAACAAGATGGTTTGTAAAGTGATGAGCTTTCGTGGGCCAGACCCACTTCCTCAGATCAAATTGTGGAAGAAAATTGGCACAACCATATATACCAAAGGGATACAATCAAAAAAAGTGAACACATAAAATGACAAATCAGATTTTAGAACAGAGGGAGGTTAAGGGGGGGAGGTTAGTGTTGATGAGATAATGATATTAGGGCATCATCTTGTTAGTCTTTAAAGTGCTGCATAGTCCTGTCTTTTGTTTCACTGTTGATTCAGGCACTGGTCAGGAGGCAAGAAAATCCCTCACTAATGCAAAGTACCAACAGAATAAATGAAAATGTGGTTTGAATCCTGACTTACCTTTCGACCCTGGGACACCGGGGTTGCCTGGGAGACCTGGTATGAATAAAAGAAACAATTCAAAATGATAAATGCAAACATTTCTTTTCCAGAAAAAACTTAAAAAACAATAAATAGTCTTGCAGCACCTTAGAGACTAACAAAACATGTGGATGGTATCATGAGCTTTCGTGGGCACAGCCCACTTTTTCAGATGAATGGAGTTTAAGGCGGTCCAGGTTTTTTTTTTCCAGGTAATTCACAGAATTGTATGATAGGTTAAGGAGCAAACTCCGTACCCAGTCATGTGATCCAACCATTTCTATTCCTACGTTTATAGAAGATTCCTTTAAAAGGTTTCCTGCTGTTAACTTCGCCGCCTTTGCTTTATCAGAGAAGCCCTGATATGAGAGCAAGACAGTCACGGTGCTCTGGGGATTATCGCATCGCTGCTGGAAAACACCAGATTTCTAGAGATAGCTAATGGGGTTTCCATTTATGTGCAAGGGCCTGGGACACCTTCCTTCAGAGTGAACCACTCTAGTCCGGCACCCTCTGGACCCGACCAGTGCCGAACCAGGGAATTTGCCAGACTACAGGGCTACGTCTAGACTGGCATGATTTTCCGGAAATGCTTTTAATGGAAAAGTTTTCCGGTAAAAGCATTTTCGGAACAGAGCGTCTAGATTAGACAAAACTGGGCTGGAACTGGAGCCTTGCATTTGGGAGAGGATGTTCCAGCCTTCTGATGTGTGATCTTGCCTAGGCTTCCATGCGTGGAACCGCTGTGAGGCTGAGACCACTGCCATGCTAAACTGTACTAAAGAAAAACCATCTCCTGAAGGCCCATTCTTCATTCCTACAGTGCATTCCCAAGTGGGCTTTCCTAGCTCTTCTCTGTGTTAACCTAAGAACTGTGATCAGCTGAGCTATCCTAACCCCATAAGGGAGACTTGGTCATGCATGAATATCTGCTCTCTGTCTCACTCTCGGCTATTTTAGTGACCCATGCCCCTATGTGTGATGTAAGGACAATAGCCACACAAGTGTGAGGCGAATAGGAAGGTGAGGGTGCTACAGTGTGTGGGTGGTATGCCAGAATGTGGCAAAATGACTTACCTGGAGGTCCCTGTGGTCCTGTGAGACCTGGAAAAAATAAAAGCAAACATTCTAAGAGATTTGGAAATTTGGGATGGGGCATCATTTTGTTGACAAGTATGGGCAGATATTCAGCTGTGCACATCAGCATCCATGCACGTGAGTAATCTGCACCTTGCAAAGGGCCCAACAGCCCTATATCATCACATTGCATGAACCCCCCCACCAGGATATCTGGCATAAAACCATGAGGAGCAAGGCAGACAGGATGTGTAACTCCATGGGCCTCATCTAACAACAGGCATCTTTTCCTTTCTGCTTTTACCTGGCTGTCCTGCATTTCCGGCGGGTCCAGATGGTCCTCGTGCTCCTTGCAGTCCCATCAGACCTTGTTCACCTAGGGACAATTAGCAAGACAACTTATCACCTCCTCAGCTTCACGTAACACAATAACCATTTACGTTCTAGAGAGTGCTGATGCAAAACAAACCAACATTTCAACGGTAGGAGCCTCCCACGAGTCAGGGGGCATGCTGGCATGTTAAATGGGTACTTTCATGCCTAAATGCCCAATGTGAGCATCCAGAGTTTGGAAGTGGACAACCAGTGTTTGAAGTGCCACAATTTTATGATGTCAAATGTTAGCTTGAAGGCCGCTACTGCGACTTAGCTCTACTCAGTTCATCTCCAAGAGACCATGTAAGGTATGTCTAGTGCAGGGGTGGCCAACCCATTCCAAACGAAGAGCCAAGATCCAACTGGATCCAGCGCGAAGAGCTGGGGCAAAAAGTTGTAGAACAAACAAAACAAAACAAAAAAAGAAAAAGGACTAGCCCTTTAAGAAGGCTTTTGAGGCTTTTGGGCCTCAACAGGCTCCCATCGGTGGCCATGGCACCATATTGGATCTGTCATTTTGATCCGGATGGCTCCCCTGCCCCGGTGAGCACAGGGGAGCCGGGAGGGTGGGCCACGTTCAGGGAGAGCGGGGGGCAGCTTTGCGAGCCGCACTGATGTGGGGGAAGAACCACATGAGGCTTGCGAACTGCGGGTTGGCCACACCTGGTCTAGTAACTCAGGCTGTTGCTTGAAAAGACCAGATAGAGAACACATGCTTACACATTTATCTTGTGCTCACGCTGCAGAATGCCTATGACAGTTCACTCTTCACTTCACCCTAGTGCTTTGGACATATGGCTCATCTCAGGTGAGGCCAAGATGATGGAGAACTGGGCTCAAGAACATTTAGCATCCCCAAACACCTGGTCTAGTAACTCAGGCTGTTGCTTGAAAAGACCAGATAGAGAACACATGCTTACACATTTATCTTGTGCTCACGCTGCAGAATGCCTATGACAGTTCACTCTTCACTTCACCCTAGTGCTTTGGACATATGGCTCATCTCAGGTGAGGCCAAGATGATGGAGAACTGGGCTCAAGAACATTTAGCATCCCCAACCATCTCTCAGTTCAGCATTAGATGTTGGACGGCACACTACTGTCCTACATCATTGTGAGTCCAGTCATACATACTACGTCAGTAACCTGCATGCAAGTCGCAATGTGATTGATCTTTTCTCTCTGATGAGGTGTAATGGGGGAGAAAAAGGATAAAATAGTGACCTACCTCTTGGGCCCTGGAGTCCATCGGGGCCAGCTGGACCTATTGAAAGATGAGTTCTCATTAGGGATTGCTGGAATGGTCCCGCCATATACCCAGCAGAGTAGATAGTCCCTGTGTGGGGCTGAACACAAGACTCTGGCTTTCTATTATATTATGTCTAAATAAGACCTGGACTGGGATCATTGAGGGTTTAGAGTATTTCACAGAAAGTTTAAATTTGAGGCTCACTTTTACACAAATAGTGATAGAAATGTAGCTGTGTTAGTCTGGTGTAGCTGAAACAAAAAACAGGACTATGTAGCACTATAAAGACTAACAAGATGGTTTATTAGGCGATGAGCTTTCGTGGGCCAGACCCACTTCCTCAGATCAAATAGTGGAAGAAAATTGTCACAACCATATATACCAAAGGATACAAATATAATCTAGTTGAAGAGATTTGGGGGGAAGATCTGGCAATACACACAGGACAATTCCACTGCACAGTTATATCCATGGCAGTCCTCAAAGAAATAAACTATCTACTGGTGGAAAAAACTAGGGATGTTAACAAACGTTTATTTTTGTAAACAAGTAATCCCTGGATTTTTCAGTGGATACACGTTTACACGCAGGGTTGGATAGGCAGCAGCTGGTACTTGCGGGATGCCAACTTTTACACCGGCTCCCTGCAAGCACCAGCTCCCGCCTGCCGTCCCTGCTGTTGCCTCTGATACAGAGGCAGCAGCATGGGGGAGGGGGCACGTCCTGCATGTACCATCTCCTGCCTGCCCTTCTCTCCCGCAGACACGGAGGACAGCCGGCTCCATGGAAGTTGGAGATCATGATACAGAGGCGGTAGCACAGGAGGGAGAGGGGCAGGCAGCTTGGTGGGAACCGGTATGCATGGGAAGCCAGCTTTTAAGCTGACTTCCTGCGTGTACTAGCTCCCACTTGCCCACTCCCCACCTACTGCCTTTGTGGGAGACTGCAGTGAGGAAGGGAAGGCAACTCTGCCGGAACCAGCACGTGCAGGGAGCCGACTTAAAAGCTGGTTTCTCATGGGCAGCGGCTCCTGCCTGCCTCCTTGCTTCCTCTGCTGTAGAGGCAGGTGCATGCGTGTGTGTAACTGTTAAGATTAACCAATGAGCCCAGGTTTATCAGTTGAATTCCACGCTAACATCCTAGAAACAACACCTGTATATGTACATCAGTTGAATCAGTTCCTTGTTACTTACCTGTAGCTCCTTTAGGTCCTGGCTCACCTGAAGGACCAGGCAACCCTCTTGAGCCTGGTTCACCTGCAATCAAATTAAATTCAACCGAATAAAAATAATGTTGGCGATCATGGTCCACTCCTCTGAGCATTGGGCGGGAGTTTTCCAAAATGCACAAATTCACGCAGTGTATCCTAGATAGGGGGCATCTTTCTGAAGTAAGTAAGAGGCATGGATCCCTACCTGGGGATATCTAATTATAGGAATCAAGAATATGATCCGTTATGGCAAACCTTATGAACAAAAATAATATTTGTATATTTGTATTTTTTGTTAATAAGCAAGGTTGGATGACGTTGCTGCAGGCACTTTTTAATAATAGCCCACTTCTTATTTTACAGACTGTACGAATTTCAGGGCCCTAGACAAGAAATGTTTATATACTGACCTGTCAGACCACGAGGTCCTTTCTCACCAGGGTCACCTAACACAAACACAAGGGGAAATATCACATTAGATAAGTCAGAGAGTTAGAGGTTTCAAGCCAGAAGGAGATTTTGGGATCCTCTAATGTAGCCGCCTGTTTATCATAGGCCACAGAATTTCCCCAAAAGAATTCCTAGAACAGTTTGATTTAAAAATGGTTAGTGACGGAGAACCCACAACAGCCCTCGGAAAATTGTTCCCATGGTTAATTACATTCACTGTTCAACAATTATGCCTTATTTCCACTATGAATTTGTCTAGCTTTGGCTCCCAGTCATTGAATCTTGGGATGCCTTTCTCTGCTAGACTGAAGAGCCCATTGTTAAATAGCTGTCTCCCATTTAGATAGTTATAGTGCAGGGGTGGGAAATAAGCAGCCCAATTGGTTGGAAATGGTTCACCAGGGTTAGCCCCTGCGGGCCGCCAGAGCCTTATTTACCTGCATGCAGCTCCCATTGGTCACAGTTTGCCATTCCCAGCCAATGGGAGCTGTGGGAAGCGGTATCCTGATCTACGCCACTTCCCGCGATTCCTATTGGCCGGGAACAGTGATCCGTGGCCAATGGGAGCAGCAAGCAGCCGCACCTGTGGATGCTCAGGTAACTAAAATGCCATTGCCTGCCAGGGGCTAGCCCTGAATTTCATCCGGTCCACAAGTGGTCATTCTCCACACCTGTTACAGAGTGTGATCACGCCACCCCTTAACCTTTTCTTTGTTAATATCAAGAGATTGCACCCTTTGAGTCTATCACTGCGAGGGATGGTTTCCAAAGCTTTAATCTGTCTCATGGCTCTTCTCAGGCCCTCTCCAACTTATCAGCATCCTTCTTGAATTGTGGGGGTGAGGACTGTTTCACTGAAAGATTTTAGTGTCAAGAAAGATTTAGCTAGGGTTGGTCCTGCTTTGGGCAGGGGGTTGGATTCGGTGACCTCCTGAGGTCTCTTTCAACCCTAGGACTCTATTATTCTATGAAAGTAAAAGAAAATCAGATGACAAAAACCATCAAATAACAAAGTCAATGAGAGATGTGATTGATCCCAATCTGATCATGGGAGAACTAGGACAAAATATCCCAAGAAATCAAAAGCACAGACAATCGTAATTCAATTGATTAGTATACCTTTGGGTCCGGCTGTTCCCAAATCTCCTTTTTCACCTAAAAGATATAAAAGCAATGGCTTAAAGTATAAATATTGTAGGGGGAAAAAGGTCTCCCTCCATCTTTCCTTTCTAGAGACATAATATGTCTCACCTGTCTCTTACTTTGACGCCTAATCTAATCTAATCTAATCTAATCTAATCTAATCTAATCTAATCTAATCTAATCTAAGAATACTCGTATCTACCTACAATATTTCTAGGGCACCCATCACCACCACTGCTATTCTTTTTCCTCCTATCTTTCTCCTATTATTCTCAAGCCCCATGGTCAGAATTGTTAATATGACTCTGATTCACAGCTGGGTGTGCTCTTCTGGGAAAAAACAGAAAAGCATGTTACAGCCATTGTAACTGGTCAATATAGCAGAATGCGGACTCTAGGTCGTACCTTTGGGCCCCGGGGCACCTGCTTCACCTTTAAATCCTTGAAGTCCAGGGGCACCTGCAAGAAAAAAATGAAATTGGGAGTTTAATCATGTCCATTCTACTCAATCGCTGAGCATGTTTTCTACGGAAGCCAAGCGTGAAGAGTGTTGTCGCTCTGTCTTTTTGTTTCCCTTGTGTTACAACAAGAGAAAGTGGCACTCACCAGGAGAACCTCGTGGGCCAAGAGAACCCGGCATGCCTGTAAATAAGAAGAATACAATATTCAGTTACATAGTGGGAAGGAGAATCCATCTCTTTGGGTTTGCCAACAGACACCAGAGTGCCCCTAACTAAACAGGGTCTTCCAGCCAGTAGGTGGTCTCACATAATTTTCATCCTACACATTAGAGCAGAGCTACTCAACTTTGGAAGCCTTGGGGGCCACAATGACACTCACAGAGCATGCCAAGGGCCATAACTTAAGTGTGGGTGAATATACATGCAAATATATATGCAAATATATGCAAATAGTTTCTTTCACACTGACAGGCATGAATACAAAGATCAAGGCAAGACTATACAACACACAGGCTCCATTGAAGTCAGTTCTGCTGATATTAATAAAATGCAATATTTACCTGATTTCCACCCATATGACAGCACTTTTAATGAGCAATGTCAGTCTGGGAATTTAACTACTAAAACACATCTCAACAGAAGACCATTCTATTGACTGCTTTTTTGTTTGAGCCTCGACCCACGGGCCGCCAACGAACAAGCCTCAGGCTGCATGCACCCCACGGGTCAAGTAGCCCTGCATGAGAGCAAGTTAGTCTTGAACTAGGATCTCTGGGAGCCACAGGAAGCAACCGTCCCTAGTGGGCCACGCCATAGCCTCTCCTCATGGCCCCACACAGGAGGAACAGAGCACTGGCTTGTGTCTGTGGCGAGCTGCTCTTTCAGAGCAAAATTTTTCCTCTAGGTTACAAGGCTCAGCTCCCATTGGAGCCTGTGTCGTGGCACGTATGTGACAGATTAAGGATTCACACAGTTATTTCTAAAGTCATGTACCGCATCATTTGCATTTCCAAAAAACAAGCCATTTAAAAGTCTGTTTTAAATATGCCTCTTTTCATTAGAACATGCTGCTCGGAAACATGGTAGTTTAGTGGAACACCAGCTCAGTCATCTGCCCATTATAGGCACAAATCAAGACAGAGGGACCCGCAACCTTCAACACTTCCTCCCACGGCTCCTCATCAGGGCTATTTCCCATGCTACCCTGCTGCCATTTTCTGTTCATCCCTGTATTTACCTTGGAGGCCAGGAGACCCTGGTGGCCCGGGAGGTCCTTGTTCACCAAATGCACCTAGAGAGTAAAGCATCAGAGAATGTCATTAACCAGCTGCCCATCTGCCATCCTCCACCCCCAGAAGAAACTCTAAGACTACGTCTAGACTACAAGCCTCTTTCGAAAGAGAGCGTCTAGACTACAAGCAGATTTTTTCGAAAAAGCGAGCTGCTTTTTCGAAAGAGAGTCTAGATGCGGTCTTTCAAAAAAGCACAGTTTGCATTCAATAACGCCTTTTTTCGAAAGAGTACTTTTGAAAAAAGGCGTTATTCCTCGTAAAATGAGGTTTACCTCAATCGAAAAAACTGCTGTGTTCTTTCAATTTACTTTTGAAAGAACGTTGTTGCAGTCTAGATGGCTACTTTTTTCAAACCCCCCCCCCACCCCTATAGTCTAGACACACCCTAAGTCCTGGTGTACACTAGGACCTTATTTAGAAATAACCCCCTTTAGATTGATTTTATAAACAGAGCATCTGCACTACCAAGCCCGTTATTTCAAAATAACAGGCCGCTTAATTCAAAATCGGAATGCCTGCTTTTCATCGGGAATAATGCTAATTCCAAAATAGCTATTTCAAAATAGCAGTCGTGTGGATGCTCCATTGCCACTATTTCAAAATAACTATTCCTCAGAGTAATTTGAACTAATTACTCCACAGTGCTTCCTGGAGCTCTGAGTCTGAGGTAGCACGTCCACATTAACGGAGCCTGCCTCAGATTAATTTCAGTGCTCCCTCATATTGAGCACACACCATTTCAAATTTGTTAAATTGGAAGTTAAGTCAAATTTAGTTATTTTGAAATAGTTTCCTAGTGTAGACACGAACTAAGATTCAGAGATGTGTCCATCATAAGGATCAATAGCACCACACTGAATTCCTCTTATCCTCCAGGGCAGCGAGACAAAACAAGGCTTTAGCTTGTTCCTCTGGGTCCACTTGCTATAAATAAATTGTCTCCAGGAACCTAAATGGTGCTCCCCATTTATATTTCCAGCCATCTCTTTCACCATCCCACCCTCAGCTCCATTTGTGAAGCCCTGCGAATTATAACCATGGGTATCCACGGTCCACAAATCATTTTTGTGCATATGTTTATACATTTTGTATCTAGAACCCTGCAAATCCATGGATATCCACTACATATCCATGGGTTTCTGCATCCGTGGATCAAATTTTGTATCCGTGCAGGGCTCTATCCATTTGCACCGATGCAAATGCTGCTTTGCACGCAGATATTACATGTTTATACAGCTATAAACCACCAGACATCTCTAGTCTATTTTCTTCAAAGAGTCACCTTGAATGACTGAGGTTTAACAGTCAAGTAAGTATCTGATTGTGGAATATGACTGATCCTCTCTCCCCCGCACCCCAATCAGTGTCATGATTAATTAGCAATTAAGACAACTGAGAATGCATTATCCTGAAATGAACTCATCTCATTGGGCATGATGATGCACCAGAGTCTGAATCTTTCTCGTGGCCCAGGACTTATCTCACTATACCACCTGGCATTGTTGCCTTCTGTTGACAGTAAATATTTTAGAAGAAAAAATGATCTATCAGTCATTTCAGCACTAAAAGATGAGTAAATCCAATGCAGCAGCCAGATTTTTGCAATTAATTGTGGCTTTTGGTAGGACACACTGGTAGAACTGTCACTCAGCACCCGTCCTTTTGCACACACTCAGCAGCTTTCTGGGGTAGTCTATTCGCTCAACACTGTCGTCGCTTTGGGCCAGAATCTTTGGGGTGACGCTTGACTCAACGTTGGCAGCGCGGATAAGACGCAAAGTAGCAGAGAGCCAAACCACTTCTGATTCTGCAAATCCCAAACCGGACTGAGGAGCTTCGGCCAAACCAAAGCCACCTGGGTTGGCCCTTACCGAGGTGGCGCAAACCCGAAATCTTTCAGCCTATTCTGAGTGGCTCCGGAATCCACTGGATCTAAACCTGTGTCTGAACTAACAACACTGAATATTAAGCTCCGAGGCTTTAGCAAAACCAGAACAGAGACTCAGCCTCCATGGCCCATCTCTTTACGCACTGGAGAGAGGGCAGGACAGTCTCCTACCTCTTTCTCCTTTCTCCCCAAATCCAGGTGGTCCAGGTTCCCCACGAGGCCCTGGTGGTCCTTCATGTCCTCGTGAGCCCATAGGTCCCTCCCTGCCAGGATCACCTATGGAAAGCAAATGGCTTGTAATAGAGCTTGATACATTCCATGCAGTGATATTCAGTCCCCCCGCAACAGGATGGCAAGGGTCACGGTGGAGTCCCGGGTTCACACAGGCAGGTGGAGGCGATGCACATACTTGTGTGAGTCTCCCATAGCAACTGAGCTGTGATAAGCTCAGAAGTAGGGTTGCTAGCTGTCCAGTTTTTGCCCAGACAGTCCAGTATTTGTAGGCCTGGACATGTGTTTTCTGTTTTTTTTGGATAGTAGGCCAACGGGGACATTTTCCCCTGCTGTGTCAGCAAGGGGGGGGGAGCAAGGAGATTTAAAGGCACAGTTACCTTTTTACCTTTTTGGGTTTTTTGCTCAACAAGTTTGGTCTCCCTATTTTGGGGGGAGGGGGAGTCAACCAATTTTTTCCCCCGCCATGTTCGGGATTTTTTGCGAAAATATCTGGCAACCCTAGCTCAGAGTAATCATGTCAGATGGGGCGGTGCTGCTTACCCACGCTGCCTTTCTGTCCTTTCGGGCCTTCTGGTCCTGGGTGCCCAAACGAACCTGGGATGCCTGTCAGCAAAACACAAGATGGTAAACCTACGTATTCCCTGACAGTGGACCCAGGGCGAGTGTTTAGCTCATATGAAAATAAGGGATTTGTAAACCCAGAGCTGCAGGGGGAGGGTTGCCAGGCTGAAAAAACCATATTGTTTGCTAAGTATTGCATGTGGGCAGGGTTCTCCTTAGCAGCATATGGTAGGCACAGTTGGGTGCAATGATAAATATTCTCCCGTTCTCAGAACATTCCTGCCCAACCGGGCTGATACTGAAGGAAGCATGATTTTGTCTATAGAATATTTCATGAAGGGGTCCGGAGGCCATATACCAGCGGACCATGAGTGTGCACTGTTATTTGATGCAGCGGTGAAACGCCCACTTGTAATGCCCACAACGTTGCATGCACACATCCCTTGCATATGCATTGTCAGGACACGGTCACGCAGGCATACAGCTGATAGAATTGTCACATGCAGAACCCAGTTTGCAATACTCGACCAGGATCTTTTAAATGTGCCCAGGGGGTCTCCGAGCACCAAAATGGTGCCAGGAAACATCTGCTCGTACAAGGCAGGATGGGATGAAGCCTTGGTGCAAATAAGGCCTTTGAGCTGTCGGGCAGGGGTTCTGCCTGGATTTCAGCACTGGCGGAATAACAACTGGCACTTGGTATAAGACATTTGCAGTGGTGCAAGAGTTAAACAGACTCCACGGAGAACCAGCCTGGAGGTATCTGCTGTGCAAAATTAATCCTCGTGTGCACTGTTCCACGGAAATGCCACAAAGGCTGGCAACTTGCTAAACTCTGCCTACCTGGTACACCAGGAAGTCCTCGGTCTCCTGTCAGGACAAAGAAAAGGAAAATTAATGGGGAAAGGGCTCTTTTGCACTGTATTTACCTTCCTGCCTTTGAAAAATCACACCTCCCAACGTTCCTCTAAAGCACATTTTGATCAAATTAGATACCGTACAATTTCTGTCTTGCTTTGCAAATGGGCGAGTGTATTTCTGGATACAAAGCAACATCTGATATCCCCTCTACAACCCTCTCTAGGTCTTTGCCAGAGCTAATACAAACAACTACTACAGCCAACACTGTCAATATAATACTTGACCCACAGAACAGCACAGCTAACTTCTTTGAGAGACAAAAGTCCATCTTTCAGCTAAGTGCCTCCAGCGCTAATGTTCTCACAGCACTTTGCCCAGGTATATGAGAAAATGTCTAATTTCAGACTCACCTTTGGGACCTTGCACTCCCATATCGCCTGAGAAAGGAGAGAAAAAAAAATCAAATCAAGAGAGATCCAGGAGGTATTCCCAATGATCGCTCATTTTGAGACCATCCTTAGTACACTCTAAACTCTCAGGCTACGTCTAGACTGGCATGATTTTCCGCAAATGATTTTAACAGAAAAGTTTTTCCGTTAAAAGCATTTGCGGAAAAGAGCATCCAGATTGGCACGGACACTTTTGTGCAAAAGCACTTTTTGTGGAAAAGCGTCCATGCCAATCTAGACGCGGTTTTGCACAAGAAAGCCCCGATCGCCATTTTCACCATCGGGGATTTTTTGCGCAAAACAGTTTTTAGCTGTCCACACTGGCCCTCTTGCGCAAAAGCATTTGTGCAAGAGGGCTTTTTCCCGAGCGGGAGCAGCATAGTATTTGCACAAGAACACTGACAATCTTACATTAGCTCATCAGTGTTCTTGCGCAAATTCAAGCGGCCAGTGTAGACAGCTGGCAAATTTTTCTTTCGCGGAAAAACTTGCCAGTCTAGACGCAGCCTCAGTGAGAGCCATGGGACTCTGGGGAGAACAGGGAAAGCCGAAATGGGCTTGTTCCATTTTAACTAGTTGTGTGATTCCTTGTGCAACTCCCTGGATTCCTTGTGCAAATTGTGAGAAGAAGCCGAGACACAGAACAAAGAAAGGGAAACACAACTCTTCTGTACCTTTCATACCGGGTTCTCCTCTGAATAAACCTGCAATGGGAAGTAAAATGGTTGTTAGATTTAATTACACAATTGCTAGCAAAACAGTCTCTTTCTCTCTGAAGACACAAGGCCGCTTTTGACTTGATTTCAAGGCTGGAGGCAGCCTTGTCTAGTGGGCGCAGTGTAGATTTGGAAAGCAGCAGCTGCCCAGATATAATGGACCGACTTCCTTTGAAATCAGCGGCAATCACTCATCTGCTGCAGAGGAAGGAGAATCATGCTTTCTGAGTGCTAATCCCATTCCTGACTGTCGGGCTCGGACTAATCGCCCTTATTTTCCCCAGCTATAAAATACAGACCTCATTCAGAAGGACGTTGTAAAAAATAATCAGTGACTTTTTGTGTAGGGCTTTAAAAATGATCAGCCTTATCAGTGCTGTACGGGTGATTCGTAATTACCCAGAACATTAGTTTACAACCACCTTGATATCTTTCTCTTGGATAAGTCGGGTAGATTTAACCCCTCTGTTACTTCCATGACAGGCAGCATTCTAAGACCCGCACTTGCTCACAACGTGCTTTCCCATAATTGGAAGGATTCCAAATTTTACTATATTGTGCTGCACTTCGAAGGCCTCTGCCAACTCAGATATGGAGTCACACTCCTGACCTGGGAAAAAGACTATTCTGCAAGTCCTTCCAGTTATCTGGGACAGTTAACAGTGCTCATTAAAAAAAAAGGCCACTTAAACTATTCCTGCAAAACTTACATATGCAACATTTGTGGAAAACAAATCTATTTTTGCATGGGCAGTGCATACACCTCTCCATTTCCTGCATGTAACTGTAGACAACGGTGTGCATGTGAATTTTACATGAGCATTTAGACAGTGAATTTGGAGATTCCTGAAACAAAAGAAGGCGAATGGCTCACGAGTTCACATTTGTCAGTGCAATCTGACAACAGGAACAAGGGCGGGATTGAATTGAGGTAAGATTTTCTTCAGTGACACAAATATAAATCTGGAGTAACTCCAGTAAAGCCATTGACGTTATTGCAGATTCACAGTGGTGTAAGTAGGGGTACGTCTACACTGTAATACTATTTTGGAAAGCCAGAGGATTATTTCAGATTCACAGTGGTGTAAATAGGGGTACGTCTACACTGTAATAGTATTTTGGAAAGCCAGAGGTACCCCAAAATAGCTACCCCGCGTCCAAGGAATGTGTCCTGTATTTCAAAATAATTTTCAAAATAATGGACGTGCTGTTTTGCCATCACTGTAAAGCTCGTTGCACGAGGGATAAGGGATGTCTCAAAATAGCCTATTTCGAAATAAAATCGAAATAAGATATGCAATTCGCATAGTGCAACTTGCATATCTTATTTTGATTTTGGAGTGCAGTGTAGACAAACCCTGAGATCAGAATCTGCCTCTTCTTCAATAATATAAATGGATCTGATAACACTATGTTTTATGTTTCTTGCTACTTAATTGCAATCTTAAGTCACACAGAAGTTTGAATGGTGCAAATGGAAGATCTGCCTTTTTTTTTCTCCGGAGGAAGCATCTTTTAGCAATACAGTCTTGTGGGATTTCATGGGCTGTTGTTCTTCTTACCTTGTTCTCTTTCCGAAGCTATTTTGTTCTTCATAAAGAGCCAGAGGGCATCTTGATCTTTAAGATTGAATTGTGTACTTGTTGTACCTTGCCCCACATCGGAAACATATTTTTCAATGTTTGTTTTGTCCAGAACAATTCCCTGGGCTCTCTCCAGCATGTCCACACGAGACTTCAGCTTCCTCACTTCTTCCGCTGAAAGGGTGCATTATAGTAAACCGTTAAAAGGGAAGAATCCTTATGAGAGCAGGGGAAAGTTTATTGTCAACTAACTGAATTTGGTGGTGGAGGGAGAGAGAGGATTATTCTGTGTATCTTGTAGTTCCTTATGACTTGTAACTTTTTACCAGAGATTTCCACGGGACTGAAAAGACATCTTTTCAATCTGTTAGCCTGTAAAGGGGAGAATTATCTTGCGGTCAAGAGCACAGGAGTGGGCATCGGATCTAAAATTCCCTCCCAGCTGTGCAATTGATTTCCTGTGCGGTCTTGAGCAAGTTACATTTCTTCTCTGGTCACTTTTACACTATGAAAAAAGGGGAGTTTGTAGTGTAACTAACCCGAGGTAAAATCCTCAGGTGGACACGACAGTTTGTAGCTTTCACATGAGTTGGTTGAGGCAAAGGTTTTAATTCACATTCTTTAATTCAACCTGTTTATATAAGCGGAAATGACACACTGCCCTGTTCTCACTAGGTTTTTACCTCACCTTAGTTATCTCGACACCACGCCTGCTTTCCTAGTATAGAGGCACTTTGTGCGCCTCATTCCTAGCATCTGTGACAGAGGAACAACACTGATTTCTATCCCTCCCACGGCTGTTGTGAAGCCGAATCCACTAATGCACTTCAGATCCTTGATGGACAGCACAAGAGAAGTGCAATTCTCTCTAATGGGCACTTGAAGGCACAGACAAAGAAACGTGCATTTAGTCGCTGAATATGCACGACTAAAAGATACTAAATCCAAGAAGATTTGAAAGCAAAGCTGATCAAACATGGCCGCCTCTGGGGACAGCACGCACCATGTTGGTACAGCATGGGAGAGCCGATGGACGCCCGAGCATCCTGCTGCCTTTGTGTCCAATGCTGGTCAGTTCTTTACAGGAGCTGACACAGATCACGTCACAGATGCTGATGGGCCCCGGCAGCACAGTTTGGGGTTGGGGTCAGATCGTGAATCATATGTTAGGAAAGAGGAGGAGGAGAACACAAGAGCTGGGACCCAGATCAGACCGGTGGTCCATATAACCCAGGCTCCTGTCTCTAAGGCGGACCAGCACTGCATGCTGTAAGGGTCTAAGAAACCCTACAATGGAGAGTTGTGGGACAGCCTGCCCAGCAATGGGGCTGGTACACTTTGAATAGAGGGAGCGTGCCAGCCCAGCCCTATTACCCATGTCTGCAGCCCCTCTCTGGAACTGGGGCTGGAAGCATGGCCATGTTTGCGGGGGGGGGGGAATCCAGAGAGGCTAAGGAGGCTGAGGCTGGGACCACTGATGGGGGCAGGCATGGGGTTGGGAGCAGAGCTGGGGCCTCAGGTGTGGGGCTGAGACAAAACCTGGGGGTACTGCAGCACCCAGCTGTACCTATCCTTCCCACACCTATGCTGTCCGGAGAAGACGTTTCCTAACCCTGGTCACTTATAGGTTGTTTTTTGCCCTGAAGCAAGAGGGTTTCTATTCCTTACACATTATTTTTATCATACCCCGTGTATCTGTTCTCAGTGCCCTAATCTTTGTCTTATCTTTTCCTCACCCCTGCTAAACCCTTCAGTGAAAGTAAGTTCACAGGCTAATTAGGTGCCCTGCAAAAAAATACACATGGATCAGTTGTCAGTTTAATTTAATGCTCCCTGATCTGTGGGACAGAGATTATTACATTCGCTCTCCTGTCCTATGTTTTGTTTCTCTCCATGTTCCTCCTCCTCTCCCCCTTCTCCCCCCAAAGGGGTCAGGATGGAGGGCTTTGCCTGCCGTCACTAGAGAACTGGATCTCAACCTCCTCAAAGTTTGGGGGGTGTTTAGATTTGGGATTCTGTTTAGGTGGATCACTAATCACATCTGGAGTGCACAGAACTGTCCACTGCTGAAGGATATGGTCCACCCGTAGGCCTGCTCTTGCTGTGACCTCTTACCCAAAGCGATGAGGCCAAAGAGTAATCCAAGTAGAAGCAGCCACGTCAGAAGCAAACCCAGGAGCCATTTCCACCAGCTACAACAGGAACCACACGGACACCAAGCTGGGGCAGCGCCTAGCCCACCTCCTCCACCGTCGCCTCGTATTTCTAAAGTGGGAAAGGACAGCAGCAAGATTAGTGAACAACTCGCTCATTTCAGTTTGAGAATCAGGCCCACGGGAGCATTCAATCCACCGCTACGGAAGAACTTTTCCACTTCAGCTTGCACACAGTGGGGCTATGTCTACACTGGCATGAATTTCCGAAAATGCTTTTAACGGAAAACTTTTCTGTTAAAAGCATTTTCGGAAAAGCACGTCTAGATTGGCAGGATGCTTTTCCCCAAAAGCACTTTTTGCGGAAAAGCGTCCGTGACCAATCTAGACGCGGTTTTCCGCAAAAAAGCCCTGAGTGCCATTTTCGCGATCGGGGCTTTTTTGTGGAAAACACTACTGTGCTGTCTACACTGTCCCTTTTCCGGAACAGTTTTCCAGAAAAAGACTTTTGCCCAAACGGGAGCAGCATAGTTTTTCCGGAAAAGCACTGATGATTTTACATGAGATTGTCAGTGCTTTTCCGGAAATTCAAGCGGCCAGTGTAGACAGCTGGCAAGTTTTTCCGGAAAAGCTGCTTATTTTCTGGAAAAACTGGCCAGTCTAGACACAGCCTGGGTGAAATCTGGGCCAGCCTGGAGTGAGTGGCAAAGTTCCCCAAGATTTCAACAGGGCTAATATTTTTCAAAGTGCTGACATCCAGTTTGCAGTTCCTACTTGTCCCCACACTTGCGTGCTTGCCCAGCAATGACAATGAACCGCAGCCACAGTTCTGCCTAGTAGCTCTGCCAACTGCTAGATGTGCCCCTTCAGTCAAGAAGCGAATCTACTCAGATTTTCACTTACACTGATTTACGGGTGCACATTTTGCAGGTACAGACAGTGCTCATCTTAAAGCAGCAACACTTATGAAAATAACTCTCCCCCTTGCTTTATCATTTACAGATTATTTATATCGCCGCTGGGTAATTCTTTTTTTGCATTGAAAGTAAACTGTGCTTTAATATATCCCCTCCTATGAAAGACTCCTCCAAGCTCTACTGACCTGCGTAAGTTGCTTTGTCCTTTGTTGACACGGATTTTAGACCTCCTGTTGTTACAAATAACAAAAGAGATTGTCATTATCTTTCTTTGCAGTGGCCAACCACACCCAGGAGAATGTGGACACAGCTGACCAGTACAATTCTGCTGACCAGTGTGTCTTTAGCACAAGCTGTATTTCACACAGCTTGATTCTACAATGAAAGTATTTAAGGCCACAAGCAGGTATTAGTATAAACTACTGGAAATAGTGGAACAAAATTGGTGCAAATTGCAAACTGCAAATTCCTTAAGCCTAAAAAACAAGCAAAATTTACACACCCTGGGAATGGAAGGATGGAGTAGCAGGAAAAGCAAGTAACAAGAAAGTGTTAAGTGAAGTAGGGGCCATTCTATCCCATTGGTAACTTTTCCTGCTACATGCACTGCCAAATATCCCCTCTTAGTACACACCCCCCTCCAGCACCCCCAAATACCTCCTCCCAATACACATACCCCTCCAGCACCTCCAAAACCCTCTCCCAGTACACACACACCCCTCCAGCACCCCCAAAACCTCCTCCCAATATACACACCCCTCTAGCGCCTCCAAATATCCCCTCCCCTCTTTCCCACCAGTGCATATAATTCACACTCGTTTTATTCATCCAGGGTCTGATTCAACAGTATGTCACCGTGTAACTCCACCTGATACCACTGAATCAGGTCTTAGGTAAAAAGTCGGTGCAAGGCATTTATGGATTGGTATTATCATTTTGCATGTCTTTCCAGTAGCATCCCAGGGGCAAGCAGGGCAAGCAGGAAGAGAAGTTCCTTCTTTTGCCCCCCCAGGGTGCTGGCAGGAAGAGAAGTTCCTTCTTTTGCCCCCAAGAGCTTAAACTCTAAAGATGAGCAGACAGAGAGAGGATAGGAGGAAGGGAATACACGGTGTAAGCGTGTGATTGGCTTTGTCTTAAGAATAGGGCACCGTTCTTTTTTTAAATAGGTCATATAATATTCCTGATCCCTAGTTTATTCCTAATTTTTCTTACCATCTCACTCCCAGCTCGTAACAAGCCTCATCACTTAGCACTGACATGGAATAGAGCCCTTTCGGGTTTGTGAATCAATGCACCCAGCCACAAAGAGGAAATTAAGAGTCCTCAGCAAGGGATATGTTCAGATGGGACTGGAAAGGAGGGCAGGTGAGGTGGTGAGGGATAGGCAGGCGGTCCCAGGTAGCATGGAAGAGGAGAACTTGTGCTGGGAGAAACAGAAGATTGGTGCCAGACCGACTGCTTCTTACCATTTGTTTCAGATTTCACATAGGAGTCTGCAGCGTAAGAAGAAGAGAAACCCTGCTTTTCTTTCTTCAGGGTGTCTTCTGCAAAGGACCCTGCGTGGGGACCAAGGAAGAGTCAAACAGGTCTTACCAGAAGTCCTAGTGGACCAGACCTTCAGCTTGCGTAAACCATTGAAGTCAATGGGACCATGCTGATTTACACCAGGAACAGCTCTGGCCCTTGGCCGTGAAGCCCTGGAGTTTTAAAAGCAAGCTGGCTAGCAGGTGTGCATTGCAACGTTTTCATAGAATATAAACTTTGCCCCATGTAACTGGTGTTGGCGGCTACCCTCAAGGGCTGCTGGATGGCAGCCCAAAGTCTACTCTGCATTCCGGTGGCGTATCATGTTTCAGATCAAACTCTAGGTTCGTGTAGTGCACACTGCTCAGGCAGGTTTTTTTCCTTGCTGTACCAAGCTTTTCTTCAGCATCATTTTAAATGTGTCCCAAGAGCGGGGGGGTTCACCGCTCCCCGGGATAGATGGTTCCACGCTGGATAGACCTCACTGTCAGTAGTCAGGGCGATGCTCATTCCCCCGAACCGGCCAGGCTCTCACCGTTGGACCAATATCCCAGTAATTAACACTCATTTCCAAGCCCCCAGCATGGGTGCCGATGGGGGAGAACTTACCTCCACTGAACCCTGAGTTAGAAGTAGCGAAGACCTTGCCACCGTCCTTCGTCATGATGAAAAGCTCCATCTCCTTCTTGGCAGGGACATTCTCCTTCTCCAGCAGCAGGAACTTGCAGTCCTTGCTCAGGATGTCGTCGCTCTGGGTGTTCACGGTGCTGCCAACTGGGGTGTGCGAAGGAGCAAGAGACAGAGAGAGACAGAGAAGGAGGTTGGTGGGTAGAAAAGATGGTCCAGTGGTTAGGATGCTATTCTAGGACTTGGGAAACCTGGATTCAATTCTCTGCCACTGACTTCCCGTGTGACCTTAGGCAAGATACTTAGCCCCTTTGTGCCTTGGTTTCCCCTGTGAAAAACAGGGTTCACAGAGGTGCCCTATCCCACGGAGGTGTTGTGAGGATAACTACACTTAAGATTCATGCATCTGATGAAGTGGGCTCCAGCGCACAAAAGCTTCTGTCCAAATAAATGTGTTAGTCTTTAAGGTGCCATGGGAGTTCTCGTTGTTTTTAAGCCCTGGAGTTTTAAAAACAAGCTGGCTAGGGGGTGTGCATTGCAAAGTTCTCCATGGAATTTCATACAGAGAATACAAACTTGGGCAGGCCAAATGTCTATTCTGCTTGCCCATGGCTTATAATGGCTGCTGAAACAGAATAACACGGCTCTTAAATGACACTTAAGATTGCGAGCCACTCCGATATTATAGAAAGGAGGCTGTATCAGATAAGATATGCTGAGGGAGCTGGTGGGCAAGCCACAGATGAAATGAAACCATTTGGTACAGTACAGACCCCTGGGAGATGGAGATACAGCGACCATAAGCACTGAGTTATGGAACAACCAAGCATCTGGCTAGCGGAAGAGCCGTAATGTTGACCAAGTTTTCTGGTTATGCTAGCTGTATGCTGATTGCTACTGAGAGCTCCATATATGGTTTGGTATAGGCATATCATACAGCCACTTACAAATGGGAAGGAGAGCCACCAAATTGCTTGCTCTTTGCACAAAATGGTGCACAAAACTAAACTTGTGAGTATACCGGCGCAAATGGGAAGTAGAGCCACCGAATTGCTTGCTCTTCGCACAAAATGGAGTACAAAACTAAACTTGTGAGTATACCGGCACAAAGTTCGGATGAAAGATAAAGGGTCTGCTTTTGCTTTGATATCTTGGTGTGAATCTGGAGTAATCACTGATGCCCACTTTACTGTAAGTTTTGCAGAATGTTATCATTTTCTAAAAGTCTCGCCTTCTGGAGTCCTGGGATTACATGACCAGAGTAATCACTGCTGCCCACTTTACTGTAAGTTTTGCTGAATGTTATAGTTTTCTAAAAGTCTCACCTTCTGGAGTCCTGGGATTACATGACCAACAGGCTGTAATTAAATACAAGTTTCTAGCCCTCAGAGTTGGGGAGGAAAGTTTGAAAACATGAACCCTAAAGGCTCAGAAACAAGAAGGCGAAACAAAAGAACCCAGAATTCATTTATTTATCATAGAATCATAGAATCATAGGACTGGGTTAAGATGATCTCATCCATTCTTAACTCTTGGTGCTAGTACTGCTGTAAAATGATGTACAAAACAAACCTGGCAAAACTTCAGATTCCATATTAAAGATAACAGGTCTGATCTGTCTTCCAGTTACTCTGGTTTAAATCAGGATCAACACCCAGGAAGCCAGCTGAGTTACACCAATAAGACACTGGCACCCAGACACAGGCCTCTGATTTCCCAGGGCTGAACTTGGTGCACCTTTGTGGAGATTTGTGAACAAGAGTGACATCTAGTGATAGAAATGTAGCCGTGTTAGTCTGGTGTAGCTGAAACAAAATACAGGACTATGTAGCACTTTAAAGAGGAACAAGATGGTTTATTAGATGATGAGCTTTCGTGGGCCAGACCCACTTCCTCAGATCAAATTAGATGATGAGCCCACGAAAGCTCATCATCTAATAAACCATCTTGTTCCTCTTTAAAGTGCTACATAGTCCTGTATTTTGACATCTAGTGGACACTTTGGTTCGTGTCCTGTGTTTACATGTTCCATGTGTTCCTGGGGCCCAAGAGAGTGAATCCAAGGCTGTGTTTACACTACACCACACTCACAGGGTGGAGTGGCAGTTGGAAGTACGGGAATAAGCTTTCATTTGGCCAGCTGGCTTCTGGAGCTGCGGCAGTGGAAGCTTCAGCGTGGGCCAGCACTGAGCCGGATTACCCAGGATTCCAGGTGGGTTTGACTCGTACAGCCAATGCCAAAGCACATGCTGTTGCTGTTTCATGCAATGCCTGAGCTAGCTCAATGAAAGGGACTATGGGAATGTCTACACAGACTGTAGTCTTGTGGGTATGTCCACACCAGCTGCAATCGTACCCTCCAATACATTCAAACCGTGATCTGCCTGCATGAGGGCAATTGCGCACACAGACCACCAGCTACATTCAGCCAGTCCTGGACTTCCGTGCATTGCGGACTCACCAGTTGAAGTGCCCACTCCACTAGTAGTCATACCAGTGCTCTGGGAAGTGTTTTTCTTCACTCCGTATACTGCAAGACAGAAATCAACAGAGACTAGGACCAGGGGCCTGGCACACTCCTAGTCAGAGTTAGAGCTGCATACCAGCAGGTGCTAAACATGCAGGCTGAGAGAGGAGGGAAAAATAGAATGGTTCCCAAAAGGAAAGAGGTCAGGGAGCCTAAAGTACCTGTCCAAACCCACCCTGGGCTTGATCCTGCAACTTGGCCCATGTAAAAAGTTCTTTTGCAATGGGTATGGAACAGCTCTGGTAAGAGATTCCCCCAGGACGAGGAGCATGCAGGAGTAGACTCTTTTTTTGCTTTGGGTGCTGCTGATAGTTGGACCTCACATTTGCAGGGCAGAAGGGAGCACCCCATCCCATTCTGTATGACATACTAGAAAAATTGCCAAAGGGAACTTGTGTTCATATTTGTTAGGGTTGATCCTGCTTTGGGCAAGGGGCTAGACTCAATGACCTCCAGAGGTCTCTTCCAGCCCTAGGATTCTATGATCCTATACTTCTTTAAAAGGATAAATGAGAGGTGAATATCTTACTGCCCGTATAAAACTATGGTACGCCCACATCTTGAGTACTGTGTACAGATGTGGTCTCCTCACCTCAAAAAAGATACTTTGGCCTTGGAAAGGTTACAGAAAAGGGCAACTAAAATGATTAGGGGTTTGGAATGGGTCCCATATGAAGAGAGGCTAAAGCGACTGGGACTTTTCAGTTTGGAAAAGAGGAGACTGAGGGGGGGATAGGATAGAGGTCTATAAAATCATGAGTGGTGTGGAGAGGGTGAATAAAGAAAAGTTCTTCATTAGTTCCCATAATATAAGGACTAGAGGACACCAAATGAAATTAATAGGTAGCAGGTTTAAAACTAATAAGCAAAAGTTCTTCTTCACACGGCGCATAGCCAACCTGTGGAACTCCTTGCCAGAGGAGGCTGTGAAGGCTAGAACTATAACAGAGTTTAAAGAGAAGCTAGATAAATTCATGGAGGTTAGGTCTATAAAGGGCTATTAGCCAGGGGATAGAATTGGTGTCCCTGGCCTCTGTTTGTCAGAGGCTGGAGATGGATGGCACGAGACAAATCGCTTGATCATTGTCTTCAGTCCACCCCTTCTGGGGCGTTGGCCACTGTCAGCAGACAGGCTACTGGGCTAGATGGACCTTTGGTCTGACCCAGTACGGCCGTTCTTATGTTCTAACCCATTTTCTTCTCGATTCGAGTCCCATCACATTTCATGTGGAGCACTGATTCCACTCTTGGCATTGTTGGCTCTTTTAGACTGTGCCTCCTGGGAACGGGTTCTGATGTGAATGATTGGATCATTAAGGAGTGCCTGGGACATGGGGACGTGCCACAGCATAGCAAAGCAGCACCGATCGGTCACCCAGCCTCTCCCCGCTATGACTAAATGTCACTGACCTGCGGAGGCCGAGGTTGCGCTCTGAGTCCTGGCTGTGGAGCTGGGAGCCAGGTTGTTTTGAACACCAAACACTGCAAAGACAAATGTCCTGAGGTGAGTAGCAGGAGGTCAGCAATGCAATTGGCACTTGGACAGCAAAAACCAGCACCAGTGAACATAATCAGAACTACAGTGATTCCTGCTAGCAAAGGTCGAGTCGCAGGCCTGAGATACCCCTCTGGGAGGCTAACGGATCTCCACGGGCCAGCTGCATGTTTCGCACACCTTTGTGTTCATTATCTTCAGTAAGACTTTTGCACACTTGCCAACTCCCCACTTCCTCCCTGCCATATCATCCTGTCCTGGAAGCCACGGTGAGTGCAGGATAAATTATGGTGGCCATTTTGGAACATTAGGGTGTGAAGAAAACTTCTGCTGACTCTGGGGATGTGCATGGCTTTATGGAGGGGCTGATTTGCAAACTAAGTATTTAATTCACTGGCATGTCTAGCCAGGCTATAGGAGAGCTGAGAGGCAATGCGATACCCACACCACAGGGAGTATGTGAATGGTGTGGGCACCACAAAAGGGAGAATTGTTTAGGGTCACCTAGGAGGGTCTAGCCAGGAGTAATGGGATGGGATGGAGCAAAGAGAAATATATTAGTCTGAACCTCAGGAAACAACAAGTAACTTCACTGCAGCCAAGAGATCGGGACCCAGCCCTAAGAGCCCACAGGGGGAGTAATCTCGGTGTCTGTTTGTTATTCATTTCAGCGGGTGTCCTGGGTTCCAAAAACAAAGACAGGAAGGAGAGAGATGTCTGACCTGTTGAGGAAGTGCTCAGCCCTGTGTTGAGCATGGAAGAGCCGGAAGCCAGGTTATTTGGGGGTCCGAACACTGCAAGAGGAGGAAAAAAAGACTATTTGGCACAACGGAGCAGTGAGATCTGGCACATCCGGGCAGATGGCTCAGCCCCCAACGCCTGAGTATGAATGGGTCACTAAGAAATGCCGTTCCTTTGTGGAAAACGGATTCTGCTAGAGAATGTGCAATAAAGATCTCAAATCGCAGCACAAACACCTGTTTTACTCTCTTTTAGAAGGGCAGAAGGTTTTGATCTCAAAAAAGTGACAGTGACTGGACACGGTTAAGGTGCCAAGCTCTTTAAACCTTCGAGGAGCCTTCACCGTTCCATTTTAAGATGGGGGCAGTAGCATTGAGGGTGGCACTACCACTCCTCCCTGGTATTTAGAAATGGGCTTGAGATGTATTGATTGAAGTGGGAATTCTGGATGTGTGAGGCACGCCGGGTTAAACCCAATAACCCTAATGTGGAATCCAGCGCTGGTAATAACTCAAACAGCGTCCATACTCCAATCCAGTGTTCTCCTCTATAGAAGTCTTCACCCTGACTGAGCTCCTTAAGGTCCCTGGTAAAGGCACAAGATCAGGCACTATGGACGTTTGAGCTTAATGAATAAGGGATTCAAAGTACAGGCTTGCGACGCGATCGGTTCCTGGGGAAGCGTCGCAAGTCGGGGGCATCGTAACTTGAACCCGCATTTACGGTAAGCGCGTGCGCCGTTGTAAATGCGGACCGAGGACGTAAGTCGGGGGTTTTCAGCCCCTTCCGCACTTATAAAAAATGGTTGTAAGTGTGGGGGGTCGTAACTCGGGCAGTCGGAAGTCGGGGTTTTCCAGTACAATCAACTCAGAAGTAATTCTGGGGACACAGGGATGCAGAAATCTACAAAGAACAATCAAGTGCATTTGCTGCCACGTCCGCTATCCCTGCCCTTAACCTCGCCTCCTCAAAGACATAAAACCCCAGCAGCAGAACGAGGATCCCAGGGCCTGTGCCCTATCCGCACAAGTGCCCAAGGCGGTGGTGCAAATACTGTACCTGATCCTGTTGAATGGGACATGGCGTTGACTAGAGAAGAGCTCTGAGCCACGTTGGTGTGGTAGCCACCGAGGGAAGATCCTGCAGGCAGGGTGGAGGACCACATGTATGGAGGGAGGGGGGCGTTCATGATGGTTGTGTCATATGTCCCCGACACTGGAGAGGAAACAGTAATGAAGCTGAGTTAGAGCAGGCTCTGGTAAGATTTCTTCTTAGAAAGAAATCCGAGCACCTCGGCAGAGGTCACAGAAAGCCAGGTGGCGATCTCAGTTTCTGATCAGGTCCTGATCTCCAGTTCAAATCTGGAGCCACTCCCTCAGTTTCAATGGGGTTACTCCAGATTCACCCCCATGTAAATGAGATCAGTGCCTGGTCTCCGATAGCCAAGCCAACTTTGAATCCCTTGGACAAATACAGAGATTGCCTGTCTCGTCATGGTAACCACCCGCAAAGCATCTCAAAGGTGTAATCAACGCACGTACGGGGAAGCCAGAATACAAACTAAACACATTCCGTCCACATCCTGGTGAGCAAATCAAACATCCCAGGACTCTTGTTGTGTTTCTGTGACACCTCCACAAACGGGCAACTAGGAAAGAAGTCAAGTGTTGCACCCAGATGAAATATGAGCATGGAACCATTATTTGTGCTGTTAATTTTGGGAGGGTTCAGTGGTATTACATCAGGGGTGAATCTGACCCATGATGCCTCAAGAACTATAGCAAGGATGGGTACATGGATGAAAGATGATGTATTGGAGTGTTTCCATCCCTTGCATAGCTCTGTGGAGCCTAGCGCTGTGGACCAGTGAACGTTTAGGGACGATGGGGTGCAGACCATCGGTAAAATGTAGGACATTCTACAGTCTGGCCTGTGGCTTACTGCTTAGACCAAGACAGAGAGTTGTTTGTTTCGGGCTTTCGTCTCCACCGGATGCAACTCTGAATTAAAGACAATGGCAGCGGGAATCTGCTCTGTTTATGAATATTTCTGGTCATTTGACAACCATGGCCTGGTCTGGGCAGTATCCGGCCACCCCCTTTGTGCATTGTTAGTGCACTCTGGAAAAGAGAGCGAACACTGGAATGCTTCCTGATACTGTTGTAAAAATGGTCTGGAATTTCGAGACAATCTAGGGCCCAAACCACCTGCTTTTGCTGACTCCTTCCCAGCTCCTTGTGCAACTGGCATGGCTAGCCCCCCCTCCGCACAGTACCTGACTGAGAGCTCCCAGTCACCATCTTGGTTTCCACGACAGCTTTCTTGGGGATGGGGAGAGTGTTGGATGAGGATCGTGTGGGGCTGACGCTGGCCGATCGACTGCCCTTCAACAAACGCTTCACATCATCCAGTTCGGTCCCTGGCAGAGAAAACAGATGTCCAGACCGAGCCCAAAGCCCTCACCAAAAACAGCATGGAACCAGCGAGGCTCCGAATATTTTAACACGGTGTCCAGCAGGAAAGTGGGCCATTTCCTGACACTCCTCAGCACTCTGCATGTGGCAAATGGTTGTCTGTAAGCTGGCTGGGTAGAAATCCTCAGTAGGGCTTTCCCATCGCTTTCTAGTTTAATCTGTCTGATGGTTTCATGTGCTACAACTGGTTTCTGGCTAGTGCTGCCCTGCATTCCTGGCAGGAGGTGCTGGTGTCTCGGGAACTCCAGCTCTGATATCACTGGACACTGGTGACTCTCAAGATGGGGCAGGTGCTGAACCTGTTTATTAATTTGTTGTTAATTAATATGTTCCTGTCTAACCTACTGCACCTATCAGCGGGGAATAGAGGCACCTGCTAGAGCGCAGGTGTAATGCTGGCCGACCCCCGTCATCTGCAGGCAGAATCAAACTTGGAACCTTTGGAGCTCAGTGCATGAGCCTTGACCGCTTGAGCTAAAAGCCTCTCTGCTCTCTGTGAGTGGTCTCAGCACCCCTAGATGGGACAGCGCACCATTGCCAGAAGGTGTGTGGGTTATACAGGCTCATTCTAGCAACAGTGCAGCACCAAGATCAGGACCAAAAAACTCTTGTAAAGCCCCTCACTTTTTTAGGCCATGTCTCTACTTCCTGGAAGATCAATGCCACGGTGGTTGATCTTCCAGCATTTGATTTAGTGGGTCTGGTAAAGACTCGCTAAATCAAACACTGAGGAACTCCTATTCCTCGCAGGGAGTAAGCGAAGTCGACAGGAGCATTTCTCCTGTCAACCCGCTGGGAGGACAGCACCGAAGCTTGGCTTAAGGCATGTTGATTCCTGCTATGTTTTTTACATAGTGGAATTGCGTACTTTAAGCTGACCTTCCCCACGCAGTGTGGACCTGGCCTGAGGGCGGCAACTGAAATGAGCAGTGAGGATCTAGGGTCCTGCATCATTGAAGTCATTGAGTGGTTTGCCAGTCACTTCAATGGGAACAGGACTGAGGCCTTATTGAGGTCAGGCGCAACTGGCCAAATGATTCTATTCAGGAGGCTAAATGAAACCACCCTGGAAAATACAAGTCTAGTCCACAGCAAACTTCCTTATTCTTCACCCTTTAATTGGAAGTTAATTGCAGAGAGTGAGGGGAGGCGGTTTTTCATCACAGCACGCTAATTTGGAGACACCTTTCTCTGCCTCCCAGAGTGCTCAAGCCCAGAGAAGCCACTGGCACAATTAGAGCAGAAATAGCCAAAACGGTCAGCCGCAGGGTTGACTCTTGAGGGCTACGCTTTAGGAGGGGAAAACTAGGCCCCCACGTTCACTCTCCAATGACAGCAGGAACACTTACATCTGGTGGAGGGAGATGAGCTCTGGAGTCGTACTCGGATTTCGCTCTCTGCACAAGAAAAGAGGGTCATGAATACAGAGCTGGTGACTCAGTGCCATGAGCAGACGCTAATTTCCCACTTCTCACTGGCCTTGTGCATTAGAATCTGTTAGGTTTGGGCATCTTTACAGAAGTGGCTTTTTACTCTGGGGCCAGATCCTGAAGCTTTGGCTCCCTCTGAGGAGCGTTGTACTTTTTGCGTACTCCCACTGAAATCAGTGGGACTGCTTGAGCAATGAGCTGCTGCTTGGTATAACTAAAAGTATCACAAGCTGGCGTTTTAAGTTTTCAAAATGCTTTGTTCAACATTTTTGGTATCATATACATACTTCCACAAATAACCACGAAGACAGATTTTTGTTACATTGTCTAGAATCTTATGTACCTCATTAGGGAAGTGTGGCATTAATATAAAATCCACTCTTGCAGCCCTTAATCACGTGAACATCTTCATTGATTGCTATTAGTTAATTACTTTTATTATATTATCCTAATATTATAAGCACTGTTCCCTCTAATTTTTTCCATCCATGTGCAGAATAAATTTGTTATGTGCACAGAGGCACATGCACCACCAGTAGAAACACATGGTGCCAGGTGTGGGTGCTCTACTAATTAGCTGCGTGGCATTTGTGTCTTACCTGGGTGGCCACTCAAATGCTCATCTCACAGGGAATTCTGGTAACAAGGGACTTCTGAATATTAAAGATTACTAGATGCATTAAGTCTATAGTCTTTCCTAGCTGTCACTCAGATAAAACTCCTATTTTCTTCACTTGGGCTATGTCTAGACTGCAGGCTTCTTTCGAAAGAGGCTCTTTCGAAAGCATCTTTCGAAAGAGCCTCTTTCAAAAGATCGCGTCTAGACTGCAGGCGGATCTTTCGAAAGAGAAATCCGCTTTTTCGAAAGAGAGCACCCAGCGAGTCTGGATGCTCTCTTTCGAAGACGGCCTCTTTACATTGAAGAACGCCTTCCTTCGAAAGAGGAACTTTCGAAGGAAGGCGTTCTTCCTCGTGAAACGAGGTTTACCGCCATCGAAAGAAAAGCCGCGTTCTTTCGAAATAATTTCGAAAGAACGCGGCTTGAGTCTGGACGCAGGGGAAGTTTTTTCGGGAAAAGGCTACTTTTCCCAAAAAAACCCCTGAGTCTGGACACGGCCTTGGAGATTTACCTGTGTCCGGACAGGTCTGTAAGGGTACGTCTACACAGCAGTGCTATTTCGGGGTAACATTCATTTCCCGATATAGTGTTGTGAGCATCTTAACAGCATGCCCATTACTTCAAAATAATTTCAAAATAACAGGCGGCTTATTCTGGCTTCCTGTAAACCTTGTTGCACGAGGAATAAGGAAGGTGCTGGAATAGAGCTCTAGTCAAAATTTGGCGCTGTGTAGACAGCACCAAATTTTGAAGTAGGCCATCTCAAAATAAGCAAAGCAAATTGTGTAGCTTATTTCGAGCAATGCACAACTGTGTAGATGTACCCTCACTGTCTGACGATTTCTCTACTGGCTCATTTAATGTAGACTCTCCCATACACATTTTTATTGGGTTCTGCTTGATCCAAAAGTGCTTTGAAATAAAACAGCCGGGTTGCAAAGGATTGTTTATTTATGCAATACTATTGCCCACAGTCAGTTTTATTATCGGGTTTTATTTTCCAATATGAACGAATATGAGGTTAAATGGACTGGGTTGAAACAAACTTTAAATCTGGTTGTCCATGAGCCAACTGGCCAGCCTTAGGACCTGACACAAATTCCTCCAGATGAAACCTAACTGTGGGGCTGTGTCTAGACGGGCAAGAATTTCCAAAAATGCTTTTAACGGAAAAGTTTTCCGTTAAAAGCATTTTCAGAACAGAGTGTCTAGATTGGCATGAATGCTTTTCCGCAAAAGCACTTTTTGCGGGAAAGCGTCCATGGCCAATCTAGACGCGCTTTTCCGCAAAAAAGCCCCGGTCGCCTTTTTCACGATCGGGGCTTTTTTGCGGAAAACAAATCTGAGCTGTCTACACTGGCCCTTTTGCGCCAAAGTTCCCTGAGCGGGAGCGGGAAAGTATTTGCGCAAGAAGCCCTGAATTCTTCCATTAGAACTCCACTGCTCATGCGCAAATTCAGGCGGCCAGTGTAGGCAGCTGGCAAGTTTTTCCGGAAAAGCAGATGATTTTCCGAAAAAACTTGCCAGTCTATACACAGCCTGGGTGTATTACGAAAGAAACACTTTTTTTTGGCAGTTGCGTGGAGAAGATGATAGATTGGGGCTGTTTTTTGAAGCAATACGAAAGCTGTGGCATGATTCTTCTGTGTCTCCTTTATTACGTGCGGGAAGATTCCCCAAGGGGATCTCAAGCTTCTAGAGTGCTGAGAGAGATCCCAGGTAAAAGTAATGGGCAACGGTCAAACTCTGCTGCAGGAGCCATACCGATGTCCTTTGATATACAGCTGCTGCTCATGTGAATTTGGATAAAATCATTTTTATAGTTGCTTTCTCACCAGCTGGGAATATAAATGAAGCTCTTCGGTATCAATTACATCCAACTTTTCCCCACACAGGTGATTAATTAGTGAAAGGAAAGGAGGGAGATTCTATTTAACAGCGTAAGCAAATCAAAATTTTACATGAAGGTGTCTGAATGGACCACACTGCTTCAGTGATTTCCTATCCCTCTCACAAGTCCACTGGGGCTCGCCTTTTAGGGGAATGTAGTTACTGTCTCGTATAACAGATCTCAGTAGAAGGAAATGAATGGGTTAGATAGATAGATAGATAGATAGATAGATAGATAGATAGATAGATAGATAGATAGATAGATAAAACAGAGAGGGAAAAAGAGAGTGCTGACCCAATGTTGCCTCTAACTATTCCATCCATGTGCAGAATAAATTAGATCATGCACTGAGCCATGTGTGAATGTGCACCACCAGTAGAAACAAAAAACTTAGCCGGGGTGCTCTGCTAATCAGCTAATCTCTCCTGAGCAGTGGCACAAGATGATGGCTTTCAGGGACACGGGTCTGATCTTGATCAAGATTATGACCCTGGCCTGGATTTAAACTTTGTGCTGTTTCTAATACCCTCAGCCATCCAACTCCCCAGTTCATCCTTAGGTTCATCCCCGTACCCACCACTCCTGATTTCTTCACCCTTATTGATTTTTGCATTTTGCTCATTGTGCAATTGCCCAAATCTCAGTGATCTAGATCTGCAGCTGGTATAAACACGTGCGGCTCCATCAACTCTCTGGAGCCAAATGGCTGTACACCAGCAGCAGGATTGGTCTAGAGAGTGGCTAGTTGAAAAGATAAAAGCAGGCGAAGAAACAAGGAGTCTCCTAAAAGCACTTTCCATCTCACCTCGGGTTTGACTCCGCCCTCTGGTGTTGGACGATGCTGTGGAAAACCAAACAGAGAAAAGCAATTTTAGACTTTATCAGCTGTTACATATCTGAAAAGAAATGCAAGAGATTTCTTATGTAAGTTGTACAGTTG